AGAGGCTTTTTGCAGCGTTCCAAACCACACTGGCAGTAGAGGAGGAACGGCGAGAGAAAACATAACGAAAACTGACAATACAGTTATTTAACTGTCCATAAACATGTCTTCTCCTAACTGACCCAGGAATCCGTTCTGTTGTGGACTGTGCCGACCCGAGGGTGCTTTTCCACTTTATTAGGGCTTTCACTCTTGCAGAAAACTCATGAAAAACTCCTGATATTTCCAGGAGGAGCTGTATGTGTAAACGCAAACAGCTTACTTTTTCCCCTCAGACTTCACCCGGAGTTTCTCCTGCCAGAACCCGAGTGTTTTTTTTCCACAGCAAGTCAGAGTGAGCTGATGCAGCAGGATATTCTCCGGAGAATTCACCTCGAGCCAATAGTAGGTAGAGTAACGTTAATATACTGTGACTGCTGCACGGTGCATAGAGTGTATTCATGTGACCACTGAGATCCCTGTGCACATAATTAAACGTCTGCATTATGTTTTCTGTTCATCAGTATGTTGTCCTCTGTCCTTTTGTTGATAGTGTGATAACGTTGAACGTTAGAGCGTCGTATAGCAGCCTGTTGCTTCATACACTACTTCCGCCAGCCAGCTTCCTACTGTGCATGTCTTAGCTCCAAATATCTTATTAGTAAGAGCTGTTGTATTTGTTCCGACAGTTAAGTGAAGCAGTAAGTAGCGTGACGCAGTACGTCACATTTCAGCAAAAAAATAAAAAAGTTATGAAAGAGCAAAACTTTTCTTGAGATTTCATCTAACTTCAAATGTTTGATTTGAAGAAAACTTATTTTGAAAGACTTTAATTTTCTGACTCGCTCCGTACTGAGAAGACGATCAGAGTGATTGTTATTATATATTCTATCTGGAGTGTTTTAACTCAAACCTCTCTTTCTATGCGTCACTGCACAGCCGGAGCTCGTTTGTCTTGAGCTCTGCTCCATGCTGGACTGTAAGAGTGAGAAAGTCAATTAGTCGGGAGACCGGCCTTGAGGCCAAGACCGATTTCAAGTACTATACTGTAACCTTCTCCAGGGGCTCCCTGTGGCTTTGCATAAAAAAAAACTTCATTTTTGTTGTTGTTTTTCCAGGTGTTTTCCATCCTCTAACTGTAAAACACAATGTGCAGCCTTTTCATTTCACTATTAAGCTACTATTATTTATTATTTAGAATATGAGGTGAATGTAAACGCAGCGGCGCTGTGTCAAACGGCGCTAGGCTAATAGCAACTTTGTGTACCCTGACTCCTGATCATATAACGATAGGTCAGTTTTGCCGGATGGAAAACACCTCAATATCTCACTTTACTTTAAAAAAATACCTGAGATGAAACTTCACCTATTGGCTGCAGGCAGATTAGGCTTGAAGCAGCGTGGTTGGTGCTGCTGGAGACATGTTCTGCTTTGCATTTTTTGCAACAATTGACTGTGCATCATACAGCTACGTCTAAAATTATAATTAACATTGGAATACAAAGTCATCATACATCTGCAGTGCTGGTACAGGTGCAGCCAAATAAGCTTATGGGTCCCTGTGGTTCTTTTATCTAGTTGAGGAAAAAGCCATTTTGGGAGCTGAGAATCTGATCTGTGGTAAACTACATAATGTTCAGCCGAGATTTATTTATCATTAGCATCTTCCTGCAAAGCCCAGGTGTCACAAAGAACATTTCTTACTGCTCATCCAGCCAGAAAGTCAGTGAGATGCACAGGAGCAGGAAGCTGAAGTGTTAAAATAATTAATGACACCTGTTTGGCATCATCACGTATTCAAACTCCACAGCCAAGAGTCCTTTATTTATTTCCTTTAAATCTCTCTCTCTCTCCCTCTCTCTCTCTCTCCCCGCCCTTCACAGAGCTGATGTCCACTTTTACTGCAGCATGGGACCCCTCCGAGCAACCTCATTCTGTCAGTGTCATGGAGTGAAACAGACCCTCTCTCTAACCCCTCTGGACTGCTGCGATCCAGGACTCGGGGGGGACCAGGAGCAGCTTGTCACAATGAGCCGTGTCCGGGTCTTTCACGTTGAAAATAAAATAGCTTTTGTCTAAAGGGATTATTTCTGCTCACGCTGCAGGTGCAAACTATACTTCCTGGTGATTCTCCTTTTATGTTTCAAACTAAAAGCCGTGTTCAGACACCTTGCCATCCGCCTCACCAAAGAGCTCAGCCTTGACTACAGACAGATTTCCTCAGGTGCTTCTCTCATACTGATCAGGACTTTTATCAGGTTTCAAAATGACATCTTAATGCTGGATGTGCAGGATACAACAACAAGCCACAAGAGGATCACATCGTCATCAAATCAAACACAACTCAAAGTTTACATATTTGGGGCACAAGAACAAATAGAAAACCAAAAGTCTCCATCTTTGCTTTGTAAATACATAAATGTAGTTCTGGTGAATATCTTGTAGATAAACTCTGACTGTATAAAATGTAATTCAGCAGATAAACTTTCATTCATTCAACCCACTACAAAAGAAAACTGTGTCAACACTCTCAACTCTGCAAAGAAAAAAGAAGACTTGAGGCTGGGTGTTATTTAAAGACTCTTTTCTCTTGCATTGACTTTTATATTATTTATCAAAAAGGTTTGGTATTAAGGTTCTTAAACTGATAATGACCACCTACATTGTTGCCTGGAAACTAGGACTTCAAAAATAAAAAAGGGTATCTCGCTTAAATATTTATATTGTAGGCTTGATTGTTTTGTGTGGAGGAATGGCTCAGGGGCGTCTCCAGGATTTCTGGATCCCGACGAAGACATTTCACGTTGGGCCCCTGCACCACAGCCTCGGTCAACCACAGCCTCACCTCCATTTCCATAAATAACCAATTAAAAAGCTTTAAATTCAGGGCGTCAAAAATGTCCTCCTGAAACTCTCCACACAAAAGAATCCAGTCTCTCTTTCTAAAGATCAACACTATAGAAAAGTACTGAAGCTGTGACTCAGTGTGTCTATTTCATAAGACAAGTGCGCAAGAGAAGAGTGAGTCAAATGATGTTGGCAATGTTTCAGAAAACTTATTTGTATCCTTTAGACACTAGTGTGCAGGAGTTTTCTTGCAATTTTTGGGAATTAAAAACAATAAATTACCCAACATTGGATGCCTAGGACTTCTTTTTTTTTTACCTTTACTATATAATAAGTTTGGACTATATCTTGTCCCAGACGAGAGATGATCAGTCGTGGCTCCAAACGTTGGTCATACCTGTGACAGCGGATCAAAGATGACTGATCTCCGAGCCGACAAATATCTGACAGCCTCAGAAATGTAAGATGTTAATCTCACAATGTGAATGCTTCTAGGATCTTGGAAAAAAAAAACAAATGCAGCACGAAATGACGCACTAATCAGCGCGACCTTACAGGTGCCAGAGCTGCACAGTAACACAAATGATCTCAACACAACACAGGCATCCCACATGTAGCCACGAGCGTGTCCACATTTTTACAATTCCTCCTCTTTGTTTTTTGTTTTTTTTTATACGCACATGAACACCACTATCACCAAGAGCTCGCTTTCTGCTGACCGCCATGGCAACCCCAGCCCTATCAGGTTGATGCACACTGATGACGCTGTGTGTTGACAATGCCTCGCATTCACTAGGTAGGTCCTTCATCACACAATGTACATGCATGTTGTACCCAACATTCATCTAAACCTGCACAGTGTGGCTCGCAATGAACTATTAGGATTGCAAAGAAAAAATGCACCGTCTGTAGGAGGCTTAAGAGATAATGAAATTCAAAACAAAAACCAGGACCAATTAACACCCTTTCCTCCATTTGGTCTCTGGGAAGTCCGTCCCATTGACCCCCAACTACAATGACCATGGAGTGCAGCTGACATTCACAGGGTTAAAAACTCCCATGGTTCCTATTCTGCATTCTTCTTTTATTACTGAGTTATGTGCAGAACCAAACAGGAAACATTATTTAGATTTTTGCAGCAGCTGCCTGCCAGCATACCTTCACTCTTCTTACTTATGTCCTTTTTTATTTTCCTTTATTGTGTCTCCATTACCTCTGACGTTTAACTTTTGAGACTTGTCAATGAAGGCACACTTTAGAAAACACTTCAGAAAGCCTACATGCTCTCCAGTCTCTAAATCCATACTTTAATATGACTCACTTTTCCTCTCATTAAAGAAACACTTTGAATGAAGTGTTTTGTTCTGTTTTAATTAATGCTTTGTTGAATGGGCAGATATTATAAGATTAGTCATCTTTCTGCTCCTTTTCATTCAAAATTTGAGATTTTATGTTTGTTTGTTTTTCTTAACTTGTTTGAACGAAATAAAATTTACAATTTTTATTTTTATTTTTTTTAAATACTCATTTTAGGTTTTGTGTACAGCACCATCTTCATAACCTAATGTTGGGTACTTCTACTGTTCCTGCTGAGCCTTGCAGTTTGTTTGCTGTTGTAGTACAGCTGCCATGTGCTAATATTAGATGGAGCTTATACAATGAGTTGTAGTATCGTTAGATGATTTGTGTCCCTTTCTTTTCTCCTTTTCTATAGGCCTTATTAAAATAACTATTGTTCAAAGCAGAATCAGCGCCCGCTCTCTCTCTCTCTGTCTGTCTTTTCTGTATTGTCAGTATGGCACATTTAATATCCACGCATTCATGTGATCTCAGAGTTGCGCTCTCCGGAGCTCTCCAAGGTACTCAGAATAAATCCTGGTACTGTTGGTAACTGCACGCCCACTCGCTTCTACACCCACAGAAACATGCAAATTCTTCCTCAGGAAAAAAAAAATAAAATAAAGAGTTGCTCCGTGCACGATAAAGACACATTAACTGACTCAATAAAAAAAAGGAGAAAAGTCAAAGATGGAGAGATAAAATGCACGAAATTACGCACAAGATAATCAGAGCCAACGCTGAGTTTAAAAGCCTTCCAAGCATAAGAAATGTGTGATAATGTGAATGGAAACAATTAAATGACAAGTAACATAACATGTACGCGGTGTGTTTACCTGCAGGAGACGGTCACTTCAATCTTGGTCGCAGGTACGATGGAGTTGAGTGGATCGAAATCCCCGATAGTCGCCATGGCTGGAGATTTTTATTTTATTTTTTTTAAATCACTTCTTCTTCTTCTTTAAGTTGTTACTTGGTATTAGAGCTCTGGGTTTCCTTCGCGGGGAGGATAAGAGCCAGAGAGGGACTCGGCCGGCTCCGGTAGAAGTAGTTGTTGCTGCTGACGGTCGGTGGAGCACTGTTGAGGGAGGTTAGAAGGCATACCTGAGGATGAGGCTTTCATTCATGGCGAGAGGGGGGAGAGAGGAGAGAGAGAGAGAGAGAGGGAGAGAGAGAGACGCGTATCCAGAAGCTCCTCATTTCTCTCCACCCATCGCCAGGTGGAGGCAGAGACCTCCACAAGTTCTTCAGCTGTGACTGGGGAAACTTGTGCTTCATGTATGGAGGGTGATCAGTGCCAGAGGAGGACTGAGATAAAAAGTCAGAGAACCCAAAGAACCAAAATGTATTCCTATATATGATGATACAATATATCTTAAGTCTACTTTAAGTTAAAGGTGTGTTGTTAGAGATGTAGGATAATTAACAGTGAGTTGATCATTAAAGCAAAAATAAACCACAAAAGGAGGAGAGTTCCTGACTTACCATGAGGGGGGTTATAAAGACTCACATTATCATTATCGCATTTATTACACAGAATCAATAATAAGAAAAATATATATATTTCAATTCGTCTTCATAATAGCAGTGAGGTGGATTTTAATGTTGAAGATGCTTCCGTAACACTGCTAAACTCTAAAGCCACGGCTCCAGAGATGAAGTTCTTTTAAATCCTCCTTTTTTTTTTTTTTAATCCCAATTTAAAGAATTATTTAAAAATGGAAACCCTGTCATCTGAAATTATTCATTGCAACTCAAATGTATTGATCACAGTGTTTCCCAAACAGAGACGATACTCGTGCGGGCCGTCCAGGTAAATTCATGGCCACCTAGTATGACTATTAGTCTTTTTTAATCTGTATAGTATAGCCATACGTTGGTACGTCCCTCCAGTAAATGCACAGGTAAAGGTGAGATGTCTCGAGATAAAGCTGGAGCTTCTCATGCCTTTGTTTCACTTTATGTTTGCAGCTTCTACACGTTATCATCAACAAGCCTCCATACACAGATCACCTGATGCAGTAACAGAATATCAGAGTCAAACATTTCAAAATGTGGGTCATGTTTTTGAGCTTCTTAAGTAAACCTAACATTAATAAACAGTATTATTTAACCTCATTAACAGTGTACAATGACCCCCCCCCCCTGCCAGACAGATTTAATGTAAAACTCTATTTGAATCACCAGCTTGTTTTTTTTTAAGGACCCCTTTGTGGTCATTTTGGCTCTGGGTAAAAAAAACCTTTTTCATGATGAACTTCTAAGAGTCATTTTGAGAGACTGTTTCTGTAGTTTACAGACTGCCAGCCTTTTTATTTATTGGAGTTAAAGTTGGTACGTGCAGAAATTTTAATGGCAAAATGCAAGATGACTGGGGTTTTTCTTCACTGATGTTTCAAATCATAGACTTTAAAGGGTAACGTTATTATTTTTAGACGCTCCAAACATGTTTTAAAGTGCTCTACAATAGGTACAACACATCTATCCAGAGATAGTATACAGATAAGAAAAAGGAGGAGGCGAGAGCTCAGGAGGAGAGGAGCTCGACACAGCCGACACAGTTTGCAGCATGTCATGTTTGTATCTCGTCTTTCTGGCATTAATAACCCCGCCTACACCTCCGAGCTCATCACACCCATTCAGCCGCCCACATGTCATCAGCAGCAAGCACAATGTAAGCCCATCAAAAGTCAATCAGCAGGATAAATATTTTGCAGATGGGTAATTCAGTGAGTCAATCCGAGACAGCGGGGAGATGTAGCCGATTGAAAAAGAGGGTGACTGAGTTCAGCATGCGTTAGTCCAGCTGAGGCCTCGCTGTGAGGGCTGACCTCTGACCTCAACATTCAAAGTCCCACTGATCTGAAAAATACATTTTCACAGTTTTAATCCGGCGTTCTTGTGTTAGATGATGCTTCATTCAAATAAAGTTGGCAGATAAATGATCGTTAAGAGTATTTTTACATAATAATAGTAATCATATGTCTGGTGACTCATCCTGCACTCAGGGGCGTTCACTAATTTTTCGACCAATGAAAAACGATCCAAACAAATTAATCCCAACATTATGCCCCGCCTCCGAATTTGTGATTTGTTCTTTGATATAGGAAATAAGTCTCGACTCGGCAGGTAGATAATCTCGCAGGTCTGTTTAATGGGGACTTTAAAGAGGAAAGTAAGGGGGGGGGCGCTGATGGCCTAGCGGTTTAGATTGCGCCCCATTACGGAGGCTAGTCCTCCAAGCAGGTGGCTCCTTTCCCAAATGTCGTTCCCCACTCTCTCTCTCTCTCTCTCTCTCTCTATTTTCTACTCTGCCCACTGTCCTGTCTGAATAAACACATAAGGCCCAAAAATAAATCTTTTTCACATTAGAATTTGTGAAGATGTACAGCAAGAATTTTAAATATTTCAGATTTCTTGTTGAACTCTCCTCGGAGACTTTGGACTTATTAAAGTCATCCTGACCGGAGCTCAGCTGGTGAAGAGAGGGAACACATCTCAACATGGATAGTAATGATAATTCAACAGCACAAAGAGATGATCTGATAAAGTCGATTGAACAGAAAAACAAAGCGAATGAAGCAAGTCACATTTTGTTTTAATTCAGAATTGCCACCTGCAGCTCGGTTCACTTTGTAGCCTGCCGACCGCCAACAATTAAGAAAACAAAAAAAACAAAAAAGTTTCAATGAATTAAAATGCATCAACTGTACAAAGAATATTCTTTACACAGAGAACATCCGGACGAGTGCAATGCAGCATTTTCATAAGAGACTCTGTCATAAAAAAAAAAAACTTAAAACAAATAAAACCATTAAATGGTGCAGTTGAGATAAAACTGCAAATTCATGCAAAAAAACCAGTGAGTGAAAAAAAAAGAAGTGACAAACTGAGTGAGAAAGAAATCAGTAAGAGTCTTTAAGCACCGTAAGATGAGGACAAACTTAGCAGCTTGAAACCGACAGTAATGCTGTTTTTGGGAGAATCGTCCGATCCGCAGCTTGATATTAGAAATCCTCCTCAGGACAGATGAAAACAAAAGAGAAAGCTTAAGACATGACAGGAAGATGAGGCCACGCCCACAAGTCTGAAAAAAACTGGCATACAAAAGTGAAACTTTTCTTAAAGCTCAGAAAGAGAACAGAAACATTTAGAGAAATGTGTTTAATCAAAAGTTCAGTCTTGGGAGTCTGATGTAAAAACGGATCCTGCCTTCATATCTGTACGTGAAGAGTTAAAAACAGGACGTAGTTAGCCTAGCTTAGCAAAAAGACTTGGACTAAGGGAGAACAGCTCGTCTGCAAAATACACCAAACAAACTGAAAACTGAACGATCAACACGATTCTTCTTTGTTTAACCCGACCTTAGACCCGGTGTCCACCTAGCGGTTTTTTTCTCTGAGCGCAAGCGTCTTATTTCTGTTGTTTTCAACGAGTAGAGAGCGTCTGCAGCAGAAAGCGGCCGCCTGGAGAGAAATAAGAAAAGGGCCCCAGCGTCTCGTTTTGCCTGTTTTTGTGCTGCGGCTCCGAGCGCTGGAAGTTCAACTTTAAGGAAAGTGCTGTTGACGTCACCGGCGCTCTTTTCAAAATGTTTGATATTCCCCGTATTTTAGCCGCCTACTGATCGTGTCCTGTATCAACATCCTCTTTGCTCCGCGCCTGATGGGGAAATAAACAATCTAAAAAAAAATTAAAAATAAAAAGTAACGGAGCTGTGTCGGTCATGCAGCGGCTGCTTTCAACAATCTGTTGTCATAGCGACGGGACATGCGGCGCTTTTCTTCTCAGCACACGAACGCTTCATGCAAGTGTTACTAAGTGCTTTTCAGCTCAGGAAAGACGCTGGGTGGACACGGGGCCTTAAACCGTCCTTTTAAAAGGCCCTTTGTTTTATTTAAAGTTTCACTACATAACTTCCCAATTATGTCAAACTGACCTTTTTCAAATATATGTTTCGAACAAAGTGGAATCAAGAGATTTCAAACGGGTTGGTTTGCATTGTGTTTTGACTTTTAAAGAAAGCTAAGCTAGCTGTTTCTTCCTGAGGTCTTGATGCCCATGTTAGCAAACACATCCTTGCAAAAGCACCGCACTGAATGCAGACATGATATCGATAACAAATCCTTAAGTTTTAACCGGTAAAATACATCAGGCGACAGGGGTGACAACATTTTCTGTAACTCTGAGGGTGGATGAAAACGTGTCCACTGACTGATGTTTCCCCTCATCAGGGTCGTCCATGAGACCTCACAGCTTCAAGCTACTGTGCAACAAAATAAAAAGGCTCAAATCCTGCAACCAGGTGAACGATTAAAGCAGAAACCTTAACGAGACTTATTGCAAAAAGTTAACGCTGATAATGCTCTACAGCCCCCAAACTTCCAAAAAGCAACCAGCTGCAAACACCCTAAACTCTTCAAACCCGGACCCGGAACAGGTGCAGATCCGATTCAGTGTTGCTCAATCAAAAAAGGCACAACAACAACAAAAAAAAAAAAAGGTCCTGAGGTACAGCAGCTGGCAACACCGACAAGTTCAGTTGAAATCACGTCTCTCCAGAACAAAACGACGTCAAAAGTAGCCCAGGTAAGAAAACGTCTGTCTGCAGCTGGGTGGGGAAATCTGAGCCGAGGCCGAGAATCAGAGAATCAGACTTCTCTTCAAAAGAGTCCAACGAGAAAATAGAAAACAAATCGAAGACGCATCGGTTTATAAACTTGCTACCACAACGCTCAGCGCCTCGTGTGCTACCGTGTCAGTGCTACTGAAGGAGGAGTATTCACTTGAGTTATAACAGAGAATGTATAAAAAAAATTTAAAAAATAAACCAGGGCGATAAAAGACGACCGAGATTCTGCATTCACCATGATTCAGGCAGACGTAGAGCTCGCACTGAGTGGAAACTAAAAATAAACAGTCTGACTGAAAAGGCTGGCTGGGAGCTGTGGTGGAGATGTATTGAGTGTGAAGAATCAACTGCTATCAATTCAATAAATAAGTACTGTGTCTGTTGTTAGTAATGCGTGTTGCTTTGTCATCGAGCTGCCTGTTAGAAAATGAATCCATGAGAGGATTTGAACATTATTTACAGAGTGGAAGACGAGCTGCACTTGGGTGTATCCTTCGCTCATGTTTGTCCATGAAAAAGAGTTGGAGCGCAACGTTAAGCTCGACGCCTTCACGTCTGCGTGAATCCTGTGAATGCAGAATGATTTCTTATGAGATCATTGCTTGGACACTTTTCTTGGCACCGTCCTGCTGCTGGAGTAACGTTTCATAAAGTGTGCTGTGTGAAGCGATTTAGCAGAGTCCTCGTCTCTTTTAACTTGACATGATCTCGTTCACTGAGAAGATCTTGGATTTTTTAAAATAGCATCGACTGGCTGTGGGGTGGTCACTTTTTTTAAACTACACTGTAAGAAAGAGGGTCAACTTTTCCCCTCTGTGATAATAAGCTTTCTGCTCATCCTAAAAGTGTGACTGATGCACTTTTTTCTCATCACTCATCGTGGAAAAATAAGTGCTTATTGGTTCATCAACGAGGCATGAAACCCACTTTCGCTCTCTTCAAATTTAAATCTGAATTGCACCGTTGCATCCGGCAAATTCTGCAACTTTCTGACTACGATCAGCACCACCAAACACGGGGAAGACGACACGCTTGCAGGTGAGATAAAAGCCAGGACCTAAACTCCTCTTGCAGCAGTGTGCACCCTCATTTCTTCTTGAACATGGGCCCTCGTCCCTCCTCTGTGACAGCTGTCTCTTCTAGCCTGCAGGTGTGATGTTTCAGAACAGGTGTGAACACCGTTTGTCTTTGGACTGAGTCAGAACAGCACTGCAGAAACTCAAATCTTTAGTAGATGTGTTTGTTAATTTCCAGTCAGAAATCTCTCATTACACAAAAAAAAAAAAAAAAATTCACCTGACAAGTACGGGTACTTGTGAAGTCTCTAAAAATGAGATCTTGATCTTAAAGAAACTTAACGAGTACATTTTGATGCTGCAGCGGCAGATATTTTTTACTCTTTACAAGCAATTCAGGCCTTTTTTTTTTTTTTTAAATGTATAATGTCTTAAAAAGACACGCACATCCCTGAGTGGGTGCTGGATCCAAAAACAGGAAAAAATAAAAAGAAGATCAGCACACCAATGAGCACACGGACCTCATTTGTCAATAAATCCTTTAACGGGAGCTCCTTGGTGTGCGGATCTCTTGAAATAAAATGTTTATCTAGACTTGTCAGGTGAATGTGGCTTCTATTAAGTGTAATGAGATTTTGTTTTTTACAATTAACTAGACAAACACACAGACTGACATTTGAGTATTTTTGTGTCAGAGAGAGGGATACTTCCAGGTCGGAAATTCATAATCATGCTGGAGAGTATACGGGGTCATTGACGAAACCCAGGCACTGACTCAAATAGATCAAACTTGATATTATGAATGACGGATTCATGTCACTGCTTGACTGAGTGAACAGAATCTATACGAACAAAAGCGCTTCCCTCTGCTGGGGTCGATAAAGAATAGCAGCACAAAAAAAAAAAAAGAGAGAGAAAAAATAATAATAAACTATCACTTCCTGTACATGGGACGGTCGCTGCAAGAAATCTTCTACAATTTTTTTTAAAAAATGAACAAAAAGCTGAAGGAAGAACGGAGGACTTCTTTATGTTCTGCCTTGTGAGAGGAACAAATCTCAAGCTCTCAGCCTTTTTTACATTTAACGATCCCTTTTTGATACCGTGGCTGAAACCGTTACCCCTCCCCCGACATTATCGAAGATTAAAAGTCCAGAGAAAAAGCTGCTGAAGCACAAAAAAAAAAAAAAAAACATTAATCCGGGGCATGTATGATTTCAAAACAAAATCAAGGGAATTTCAAGAAAAAATAAAGTAATGCTTCACCGCCCTGACGTGAACAGAGATGTTTGGCACTTCATTGTACTGAGTCTAGACATGTTGATGGATGGAAGGATGGAAGCAGGAGGAAGGTCTGAAGTCACGTCGGGCGGTCTCAGACGATGGCGTTGGTGCCCCGGAGGCCCACCCCGCGGGCGAACTGCTCCAGCAGGCCGGTGATGGCGCCGGAGGGGCTGGGGGCGGAGGACTTGAGGCCCACGGTGGAGCTGTAGGCTGCCAGGAAGACTTCCCGCACGGCCTCCAGACGGGCCTGACGCTCAGAGGGGAAGGGACACCTGGAGAGGAGAGAGGAAGGAGGGGGAGGACACGGCAGGGAGCCAGATAAGAAGACAGGAAGATAAAGGTTAAGGGAGGTAAATCGCTCTCGCTTCAGAAGTGCGCTGAAGAAGAAGAGGTGTGCCATTAAATCAGAAGAGTAAAAACAGAATGACTCAGGCAGAGGCAGCTTGGATCAACCCCTCAATGTATTCTTAAATTTACCATCGCAGAGCTCGCACACTCGTCACCGTCTCTCCGCTTCCCTCCCCTCTTTCCAGTGTCTCGCCATCTCCCCAGAATTAAGATGTATAGATGCTATGTTGCTTCTCTGACAGCAAGTGATGCTGGCGGGACACGCTCGATTTGGCAGTCGGATCAAGCAGAAATTAAAATGTCTACCCTGCTGGGAGCGGAGAGTGTGGGAGGATGAGTCAGAGGGAGAGCCCAGTGGAAAATTTGCCTCCCTTGTTTCTCGTCCTCGGCTCTCACTCGGTTCATTGGGGGGGGGGGGACAGAGATGAGCCATGAAGGAAGCATGCACTCGACATATCTGACTTTTTTTCTTTAAAAGTTTTCCGACTACTCAAAGTGCTTTTACACCGCAGGTCACACCTACACATGCACACGCTGCCGATGAAGCAGGGGGTTAAGCTAACTTGGGGTTAAGTGTCTTTCCCAAGGACACATCGGATGTATGGCAGCAGGAACTAGAAATCGAACCCTCGACCTTCGGGTTGAGGGTCTACCACTGAGCCACAGCAGCCCCTGTTGTCTTATTATTGCATTATTTTTAAAGCAGTATGAAGTCCTGATTCTGCACACATTTTAATGCGATCAGTACAGCACATAACAAACACCGATGACATGATGGACACAGTTGTTATTTTCCCACTTCTGCTGTTTTTGTTGCCAAAAAAAAAAAAAAAAAAAGCGGCAAAAAACAATTATAAAGTAATACGAACACGGCTCATATACTTGTTAACCAGGCAGTGATTCCCAAGCTGCTGCTGCACGGCTGCTCCACTAATGGCTTCATGGAAATGACTGTTGGTGCCTTGTGATTGGCTAAGATAATAAAAAAAGCTCCGATACAGAAAGAAGAAAGTGTGTGTTAGTACAGGAATGTTCAGCGGGGACAAACCCGGAGCGACTATATTCAAATGAGCTGAAATCAGAACGTTGTACATGAAGATGTTACATTTTAAAGGAAGAATGTGTGATATTTAACAAATTCATCCAGCAGAAATCAAATCTATCTATCTGTAAATGTCTCTCTGAGTCATGACTGTCTACAATGAGTGAGAAGCTCGAGTCCCGCTGGCTGTGTTGTTGTCAGAGCTGTGTTTACGTCACGTTTACATGGACGAGGCGGCCTTGTGTATAAAAGCTGTTTTAGTCAAGAACTACAAAAAGAAGAAGAACATACTCACTGATTATTTAAATGTCACCTAAGTGTCTTTAGATCACGCTCATTCTGTGTCAATTTTAGGGATTTACAGTAATCCATGTACTCGATTACTCGAATTACCTAATGAATGCCTGTAAAATGACATAAACATCCAATATTTAAACAGAAATATAAATAAATAACCAACGACAGAAAGCGATTTCAATTTCAACGACGTGTGCTAACAGGGCTAGCAAATGACGTGACGCGAGACTGCCTGTTTTCTCCTTGTGGTGAAGCATCGAACTCGTATTCCTATGGTATTGCAAGTTTAACGCCACATATCTTGCACTGCACATTAACGTCATCGTTCTTGTCGAAGCGCTTCCAGACATCACTTTTCATGACTGACATGTCGCAGGTGTGGCAGACGGTTCGGTATTTGTTGTGCTTTTGCTTTCGGTGTAATGATATGTTCCTAGAGAGTTGCCGTAGCTGCCGTCAAACACAGTACCCATCCCTCGTCAATTTATGTGCAATATGAAGCTATGAGTTAACCAAAGTGTGCTAACATTAGCCTGCTAACACAACAATGCAGGACACAGGCGATTGCAGCTCGAGCTAAGGACAGTTTAGTCCACCGCTTGCTCTTAATGGTGATTAATTATGTTGCGTTCTAATTCATAACTCCTGCAAACGCGTGTGGAGGGGGGGGGTTGGAGGTGCGTCTCTGGAGGAGAGCAGAGGCTTCAGAATGGCGGAGGTGTAGCCTAACAGGAAGTTTGTTTTGGGTTCATGCTGGTGCTTCAAGGGCGACATCTACTGGATCAAAAAGTCGCACATCCTTCCTTTAATTTAAAATGTATCTTCTGAAGAAAAGACTGCAGTGTTAATATCATATTATAAAGAAACCCACAGTGGGAGCCTGGACCTGTAGCAGAGCAGGACTGAAGACCTCCAGAGTTAAAGCGGGCTCTATGAGGCTCGACCTAAATATGACCTTGTATCACACAGGGGACTAGGAGATCCAACAGAAAGCCTGGATGGGTTGCACGGTGTTACTTACATTCGTCCACTGGGTCCTTCATCCTGAAAACTGAAGGGCAGGGGGGAGTCGTAGGCGGCAGCGACAGCGGACGACGTGGAGGAGGCCGAGGCCAGAGGTGGAGGGAAATGAGCGTGGTCGTGGATGCTGCCACAACCAGAAACTATCTGCCAACTCCCGTACTCTGTAGAGAGGGAGGACCCTGACCGAGCGTAGTCTGCTGCTAACCTGGGAGAGAGGACGAGACATCTCATTGGCCATGAACGAGCTTCACTTTGAGGCCACGGCTCCTCAGGGCAACACTGGAAGCTAAAATAGAGACGCTCTCATGCTAAAGCGCTGTGCCTCTGGTGGTTCATCTAAAATTTACTTGACTCACGCTAAGTGTGTGTTTAAAAAGAGATGGCGTGCAAAGTCACTCACCTTCTCCCGGGGACAGCCAATGGGCTGCTGCCAGTGCGAGCGACGCCGTGTTCTGATTGGTTGGAGGACGAGGAGCTGGAAGACCTGGCCTCGCTGAGCGGATGAGAGAGGTGCTCTTCCAAAGGGTTCTGTTTATTCCAAACAACCATCTGAGGAGAGGAGGCGGGGCCTTTTCTCCTGAGGAGAGACAGAGTACATCAACATCAACAGAACAGGAGGAGGAGCAGGAGGAGGAGGAGGATGAGCAGGAGCAGGAAGAGGGGAGCAGGAGGAGGAGGAGGAGGAGGAGGAGGAGGAGGAGGGAGAGGAGCAGGAGGAGGAGGAGGAGGGCGAGGAGGAGGAGGCGCAGGAGGAGGAGGAGGAGGAGCAGGAGGAGGAGCAAGGGAGGAGTAGGAGCGAGAAGGAGCAGGAGGAGGAGGAGGAGAGGAGGAAGAGGAGGAGCAGGAGCAGCAGGAGGAAGCGCAGGAGGAGGAGGAGGAGGAGGAAGAGGAGGAGCAGGAGGAGGAGGAGGAGGAGCAGGAGGAGGAGGAGGAAAGGGAGGAGTAGGAGCGAGAAGGAGCAGGAGGAAGAGGAGGAGCAGGAGGAAGAGGAGGAGCAGGAGCAGCAGGAGGAAGCGCAGGAGGAGGAGGAGGAGAGCAGGAGAAAAGGAGGAGCAGGAGGAGGAGGAGGAGGAGGAGGAAGAGCAGGAGGAGGAGGAGGAGCAGGAGGGAGCAGGAGGAGAGGAAGAGGAAGAGAGCAGAGGAGGAGGAGCAGGAGGAGGAGGAGCAGGAGGAGGAAGAGCAGGAGGAAAGGAGGAGCAGGAGGAGGACCAGAGGAAGAGGAAGAGGAGCAGGAGGAAGAGGTGGAGGAGGAGGAGGAGGAGGAGGAGGAGGAGGAGAGGAGGAGCAGGAGGAGGAAGAGAGGAGGAGGGAAGAGGAGAGGAGGAGGAGGAGGAAGAGGAGGAGGAGGAGGAGGAGGAGGAGGAGGAGGAGGAGGAGGAGAGGAGGAGCAGGAGGAGGAAGAGAAGAGGAAGAGGAGGAGGAGGAGGAGGAGGAAGAGAGGAGAGGAAGAGGAGGAGGAGAGGAGGAGGAGAGGAGGAGCAGGAGGAGAAGAGGAGCAGGAGGAAGAGGAGGAGGAGCAGGAGGAGGAGCAGGAGGAGGAGGAGGAGGAGCAGGAGGAGGAGGAGGAGCAGGAGGAGGAGGAGGAGCAGGAGGAAGAGGAGGAGGAGGAGCAGGAGGAAGAGGAGGAGCAGGAGGAGAGGAGAGAGGAAGAGGAGGAGCAGGAGAGGAGAGCAGGAGAAGGAGGAGGAGGAGGACAGAGAGGAAGAGGAGGAGGAGGAAGAGGAGGAGCAGGAGGAGGAGGAGCAGGAAGAGGAGGAGGAGGAGGAGCAGGAGGAAGAGGAGGAGGAGGAAGAGGAGGAGGAGGAGGAGGAGCAGGAAGAGAGGAGGAAGAGAGGAGGAGGAGCAGGAGGAGAAACAGAGCATAAAAATACCATAAAAATCGAATTTTTTACATCTAGAAGTGGGCTGCATCCTTCTGTAACTACCGGTGAATCGACTGGTGCAGTTAATACACTAAAACATGTGCTGTCATGACCAACAGTAAGGCTGCCAAAATCACACATTGCACGCAACCTGATGCTATGCAAAATTTGCCTTTTTCATTGTGTATTGCAAAGCATGCCTAAATACATTGAGACGCAGACCAGGATGGAGGCGCCATTTTTTTAACAGCTTTTCTCCTTCATGAGGTCATAATCCTCCACTTGAAGAAACCTGTGGTACACTGTTAAATTAGTAAACCTTGTAGAGCGCTGGTTTGATTGAAAGGACTCTTCAATCACTAACAAGTGACCAGCGAAGGTGGGCGGCACGACGGAGGGGAAAACGGTCACAGACACTGGGTCGTACCTCACAACTCTAAATGTAACCGTAGGCTGAGAGCTCAACTACCGTACCAGAAGCTAGCATGGGGAAAAACACTAACAGATGCTACTAGAAAGAACAGCACAGAAATGACATGGCAGACTGCGTCTTATCTACCGGTGCGACTTGAAATCAGGATTTCCTGGTAAGAATATTTTTTTTAGTGAGCATTTGAATACGTAACTGACCAGCTGGCCTGGGGTTGGCTGGAGAACAGGTCCACAGTGTCGTTGGTGAGGCTGGAGGCGCCGCCCGCCTCCTCGGTGATGAGGGAAAACTCGCTGCTCAGACTGGTCACACTGCCACGATCCCTCGTCTCTGAAGACCAAAGAGCAGGAGAGTTAGTTGAGGTTTTTAAAAACAGAAGAACTTTTTCACAGAAGACGTTATGAGAGAGCACGGCAGGAGAAGAATAAATCCAGAACATCAAGCTCATATTTCTGATTTAAGACATGAGTAAACCCAGCCCCGAGGGAAAGAGCCTTTCAGCAGGCTCTGTGTGTTCTGCTTCACACGTCTGTGCCATAGTCTGTACGTAAAAAGTGGGCGCAGCCAAAGAAACCCAAACCTGCATTTTTTTCTGAAGGCCAGTGACTCCACTGGCTGCTCGTATGAAAAAAGACAAGCGACTTCTTCCATCTTCATGTTTCATCCTGCTCAAACTAAAATTAATAGCAGTACATTAGTATTAACTTAACCCATTCATACACATTCACACGCTGCCGACAAAGCAGCGGGAGCAACTTGGGGTTTCATTTTCTTGCCAAAGGACACATCAGACATGTGTCTGCAGGAGCTGGGGATCGAACCCTCGACCTTCCGGTTGAGAGATGACAGACTCTCCACAGCCTTATTATTGTATTCTTTTTAAAGCAGTATTTTTTTTAATCAGTATGAAGTCCTGATTCTGCACACATTTGAAGGCCACCAGTACAGCACTCAATTTTCCTAAACACAATTTCCCATCAACCATGGACATTTGTTGGTCGACTTAAAAGCTGTAAAAATGATTGTTACTTTACACCTTCCTCAGGAAACAGAGGTGTGAAAAAGCCCTTTTCGAGACAAACTCTGAACACTGCATTATTCTCTCTTTTATTTCTCCAGGTAGAAAATGTTAAAACTTTAGCCCAATAAAAAAAATCCCTGACAGATTTCACCAAGCAAGCAGATAAATCTAAATCAAATATAATCTTTTAGGCACCGCTGTGACTAAACTGTGCGTGCATCCTGAATACTGAGTAGTCTTGTCTCATTTCAGGAAAGACTTAGTCCATAACAGGAAAGATAAGAAGCCGTTTATACCTGTGAAAAGTATCAGCTTTGACATTAAACGGTGAACTGATGGGAACGCCTCAGAGACTCCACTGAAGGTTAAAAGCCTGCACACATCAAGGTTTGTGATGCAACATGTTTTAGATTCAGGCCGTGCAATTTTCTCACGAGATAAAAGTGCTGTGTTATCACGGCCATGAGTCTCTCTGTGCTCTGTCTCTGCATCACACTCTTTCTGAGTTATTCCTCGTTGCATCAGAACAGAGGCTAGTGGCAGGAGAGCTCCCAATGGAGTGCCTCACCCCCAAAAAGAAAAAAGACAGAAAAAGATCCAACAAGTAGAACTGGAATGTGATGAAATTGACACAGATCAGGCACAACATTATGACCACCAGTGCAATCTAAAGCAATCCAACAGTTCTACCACAAATGCTGGTTCCTAATATTTAGCTCTCCTCGTGTTTGTTAGCGGAGAGGGCAAAACGTTAGGAACACCTTCAATATAATGCAATCCAGTACATCACATGCATGGTTCTCAAAGAGAACATGCAGGGGGCGCTGGTGGTGCAGAGGTTAGTGCTTGCACCCCGTGTAAGAAGGCTGTAGGTTTGAATCCCACCTGTGGCTCCTTTCCCACATTTCATTCCCTACTCTCTCTCTCTCTGATTTCCAACTCTATCCACTGTCCTATGTCTCCATTAAAGGCCCAAAAAGCCCAAAAATAAATCTTAAAAAAAAGAGAGAGAACATGTAGCATATTTTCATCTATACACGGATCAACAGTCTAAGTTACAATACTAACTGTGCAACTGTACCCAGTTCAGGTGAGGGTGCACTCTACAACACTACATCCCTTCCTCTAAATCGGAAAAAGATAACCTTCCCTAAAGACACGCAAAATGCTCAAAATGAAAATAGGCCGGACTAAAATGTAAGATACTTACTGAACTAAATGATAAAGTGACCTTTCTATCTGATCAGACATTAAGGAAACATGCTATGTTGAAGTGCTGGCTTCTCTGACAACAATGCAGCAGCCAGTATGTCCTCCTTCTAACTTTAGATTCTGCTCCTGAATGCTCTGGATTTGTTTGGACCAGAGAAGGTTGGTGGTTTTAAGGCGACCCTAACATGGCTGTCTGGGACGCCCCTCTGTTTGCCAGGCAAACGGCAAACCAACAGGTGTTGCAGCGATGGAAGTGGGCGAGAGAAGTGATTGTACCCGACCTAAAAAGAAAATGCATGTTTATAATAAGCTCCACGAGCAGAAACGTGTCTGTGACATGGCAACCTGCATGTGCATTGACTCTGGGGAGGGGGGGCGCTCTCTCCAATGTTTGACTGCTCCTTTAATAATGACATATTTTTGTACAATTGCTCAAAATTCTGCATGTGTTGTAAACAAACACAACTGAAGCTGCACACTTACCAGGTATTGTGTTAGTACGTATTTTCATGAATTCATTCATCTTGATAATTTTGTGGATATATCTTTTGTGTCAATTGTGTCAACCACCTAAGAGTAATTCTTCTTTTAGGTTTGTGAAGCTGTAATACATGTGTAAGAGACCTCATAGCAGCAGAGTTATATTTGGATTGGAGCCAAGTGTCTCTTGTGAGCTGAGAAGGAAATGTGAGTCTGAGACTGAAGAAATGTACATGTCTGATATTTACGAAGTCAAGGTGATGACTTCTTTCTAGCCTTTTAGAGATGGAACGAAGAAGCCAGGAATTTGTGGGCTGTACCTTCTAGCAGAATATAAGAAACACTGTGAAGATGAAGACTTTGCCACTTTGCCCATGATTGTCAATGATTACAAGCGATTGTGAGATCTTGGTCAGCGATGGTCCGCACTTTGTCAGTGTGTTGTGTTTCTGTGTTGTCTGACCACGGCTGAATAAATCTAACATGATCCACAGTCTGTTTCACGTTTTCATCATTGTCCATTTAATACAGAAACAACCCCCACCTAACAAATCAGATCAAGTGTTCACAGAGATACTGACCAAAACAACAATCGACATAAACCGGCCCTCTCAATCAACTGAAATTCCTTAATGAAAGGGCCCGATTGGACCAGTGTCTTGATTGACCCCTTTACATTAACAAGAACACACTAAGTCCCTCGGTGGAGTGTAGCTGCTTTTACAGTCACAACGACAGGGACAGTAGTTGACAGTATAACAGTACTAGCACTGCTTCAGTAATGTAATAATAAGCAGTGTATTTAATGAGCTACATCCATCAAAAGGTCTCGCAGAGGTGTCCTGTATGTGGGCCAGTGCAGAGGGAGGGTTGTATGAGGCACGACGTGACTTACTTAACTGGCAGAGGTCTTCCACAGTGAAATCACTTTCTTTGATGTGGGAGTTCTTCCTTCTGAAAGATGAAAATAACATCGGAGTTCAAAAGAAGAGAAAGCCTCCAGACGCTGGGGATTCACAGAGTTGCTTTCTCTACTGTGTGAGCGCTACTATAACGCCAAAGACAACTGTAGCTTCATGATAATAAATGTGCTCGACGGAGGGAGAGAGGCGGGAAGGACGACAGGAAGGAGAGAAGTGCACAAAGAAAATGGGAGATAAGAACACTCACAAGATGACACACGTATGAAATAAGAGAAGTGAAGGGAGCATACCTCTGTTTCTTTACAGCAGAGAACTTCTCTGAGACAATGTGCTTCAAAAAATTGAAGCAAAAAAAGAAAATCTGAGGGAACAAAGAACAAGCAAATAAATTAAACAAGGCAGGCAAATAACATTACATTAGTTTTTATCAAACATCCATCCCACATCAGGTTATCCCAGGTGCCATACGCAGGTGGTGGGTGGTCCCAGAGCAAAATATTTACAAGAACATAACAGCCCTACAGCTACAACTATCTCAACCCAAATGTATCACAACAGAGTAGGCAAATACACACAGATCACAAGGAAACAGGCTTCCTGATAAACACAAAAAGACGAATATCTTTCTTTTTTTTTTAAGTTTATTTTGAGCTTTATTTAGAGATAGGAGAGTGGATAGAGTTAGAAATCAAGGAGAGAGAAAGAGAGCAGGAAATGATATGTGGGAAATAACTTGGGTCACCCCCTGAAGGACTACAGCCTCCGTACACGGGCCGTGTGCACTAACTTACTTTCCGATTACACAATCCTCTTTTTTACTTTTGAACAATTGGATTTCAGGATTTAATTCAATCCAAAAACTTGAATCCTGTTGGATTACTTTTGAACTATCGGGCCCACAAGAAGTTCGAAGTATCGTAAATGTGATGGTATAACTAGAACTCTTGCCTGTCTCCTTATTGGTCGATAAAAAAAAAAAAAAAGCCTTGTAAATCATAGAAACATTTATTTTAAATCAGAAAGTGATGAACTCACCTCCTCCCCTTTGGAGAGTCGATCTGGCAGCATGTGACTGAAAACAGAAGAAGAAATGTTCTGTGAGCTGCCATCTCCACAAAGTTCATGAACATTAGAAGTCACCGTCTTTTAGTCATCATTACATCCTTCTTTCACTGTACCTGTTTTACTAATGTAGGTCTAACTAGTGGAGGCATGTGGTGATAACTGTTAAGGAGTTCACAGAGAGGTCCGTCTGTGATCACTGTGACAACCCGAGCCAGAAGGTCAACAAGAGCCACAACTTCTCCAAAGTTTTTTTTTCCAGAGATTTTCAAGCATTATCTCAGCAGGACTTTGTGAGAAAGGTTTTTGTCTAATTCAGTCCACACGAAGAAAAAAAGTAAATCGTCAAAGACCCTTGAGAGTGGATCACCTCACGTTTTCTTTCATGAACATACGAGGTCGCCTTTAAAACTCTGAATTCAAGCAGTATTTAAAGTGTCTGAAGAGGATTATACACCCAGTATATTTAAACCTGACACCAGAGGACCGAATCATAAAAAAAGGGTCAGTTTGATAAACCTGAGATGATTCCTCCTTTACTTTAATGATTTAATAAATAAAAGATATTAACGATATGGGAGTCCATCTTTATCATCTCTCGTCATACACTTCTCTCCTGCTCTAGATTAGGTGGATTTTTTTAAAAGCATACGATAGTGTGGCTTTCAGAAGATGTATCAAAGTAAAACTGTTTGTGAATTGCATACATCCCTCTTATCTGACTTTACAACGTCACATAAGGTCAAAGGTCAGGCTCTAGAAGTAGTTTGAGCTTATAAATGGTAGACTAGAATATTGTATATTTCACTTTCCTTTAAAGCCACAAAGGACCCATAATAACCAAAGTCCATGAGGAGGGATGTGTCCAGACGTTGTATGAATATGTCTGCAACAGCTGCTCATTCGTTTTTTTTGCCTTTGCTTATAAAAGAAAGATCAGCTGACTGCGGCTTCTCTCAAAACTTGGGATCCAGAAATCTCCAATCGCCACTGGTGTGACTGGTTAAATCACAGAGGAGTCACATGTTCCACTTAAGACCTATTTATTTAACTCACTGATTGACAGAGTGTACATACACCCTGCTTGAATGTGTGTGTGTGTGTGTGTGTGTGTGTGGGGTTTGTCAATCAGCAAGTTAAATTAATCATTCTAACTGAAACCTGAGACTCCTAGTTCTTTCTTTTATGGTCTGTCGAGCTTCAGTTTTTATATTGTGGTGCACGCCTGCACTCTATCGTGCTCGCTCTCTCTCTCCAGCTATCTGTCTCTCACCGCGTCGTGCACGCAGCAATTTAATGAATAAATGAAAAATTAGATAAAAGCAGGTCGGAAGTATACTTGGGCAGCCATACATTTACTTGGGCGGCCCGTCCCGGTATCATCTATGTGTGGGAAACACTGCTGTTAGACGGGTTGGGGGGATTCCCTTAGTGTGAGTGCGCCCTAGGTGTTAACTTGATCTTTAATCCATTATGTCTGTAGATGTCTAATTACAAAAGTTCACTAGCAGTGAAAGGGATTTTTACAAGACTGTCTCTGAACATTAAAGAGATCTGTCTGGTGGTTATTAAGAAAGAAAAAACCCCAAGAGAGGAAGTGAAAATGTGGAGAGAGGGCGGATCAAAGAAGTGGTCAGGAGCAAAGCCAGGAGCGTTTGACTTCCCTCTTGAAGTCCTGGCCTCCTCCTTTCCTCTCTGCGCCCAGCGCTTCATTAACCACTCTCTGCTCAATAATGCATGACGGACAAAAACGGTGCATCTCAAAGCAGATGGTGGCTAGACGCTGCAAATGCACCTCCGTTGTCAGCACATTTACCAGCGTGAATTCAAACGCTATGCGAGTCATGAAATAATGATAGTGATGATGTAAACGATTTTTTTTTTTTTTTTACCCGAAGAGGAACCAGTCGTAAGCGATGGTTAGATACAGGATCTCCGCTGGCTCCAGGCTGGCGTGCACGGCTCCGTCCTGTTTAAGAAAAACATCTCAATCATCACAAATACAAAAAAATATAAAAAATAATGCACAATATGTCGAACATCTGCAGACAGCTTCAGTCTGTTTGAAAAGCTCCCTGCACATGGAGCAACATTACATATTTATACCATTACAGTTTTTTTAAGTAAGGGCAGAGAGGACTCACTAAAGCCCTCGTTAGAATTGATGAGTAAGTGTTAGTTGGCGAGGGCCAAGGTGAATGCAGGTCGGAGGGGCCAATTGAGCTGTACAGTGACTGGGTGTCACCAGGGGAGAATACAGGAGGTAAAAAGAGAGGAAAGAGAAGAAAAACTGAGAACTTACTGCCCAAAGAGAGAGCCTGAGGAGGGACACAAAAAGAGGCGTCCGATCCCAGCCTGATATGCAGTGCACCAGGAGGCCGCTCTCATCTGAAACAACACAACAACAACAACAACAACGACATGAAGACCGACTGAGACGCTGAAGAACGACACTGGACAAACAGAACCTCCAGACTGTGAGTAGAAATCAGTGGTGAATAAAAACATGAGTAATCTTGTAGTCGTGGGCGATAAAACAATAATTATCGCAATAATATTTTTCTCAATTAAAAGACAAATGTTTGATAGAATTGAAACCTGTAATTACACAAACCAAACACAACGAACGGGGGGGGGCGCTAGAGTATCTTAAACGATAGTCGCAAACAGACATTAAAAAGAAGAAAAAAAGACTAAGAACAGCCAATCATGTCGCAGGGATATGAATAGGTAGGCTTCCAGACGTTTAGAGCAGAAAGGAAACTTTCGCTCAGGAGCAAAAATCTGCCTTTAATTTGAAATAAATAGTTTGACAATGAATAATTAACGATATCGACTGAAATGATAACTTTAAGTCATACCACCCTGCCCTAATTATAAACCTACAAAATATCAAATTTAATTTCAGAAAATAAATGAATAAACAGCAGGTATTGAAACTAATATCGGTGTTTGTTGAAACTGGAAAGAACTTTACTCTGACTCTCTTTTGGCTCTGTTTTTGGTCTCCACCAGCTCCTGAGGGAACATCTGGCCTACAGCCGCTAAACGCTCATTTGAGTTCAGCAGCTAGTTTCTAACTAAGTTCGACTAAACCAAAGGCAACAACCTCAAGTCAAGTGATAAACGCACTAAACTAACTTTTTTTTTATTATCTTGTGGCAAACAGGAGTGGCAACACATCAGGACACATAAAGGACATGTGCTAACAGCTAACAGTTTCCCAATAAGTGTTCCTCAATAGTTTAATTAACGTCTGTCAGCATGAAGAGTTAAACATTTGATGATGTAGGACATGGCTACGTGTGATCGACAGCTCTCTATCACAGTGACAGGTCAAATGTTTTGTTCAGCGTCTGCACCAAAAATTAATTCTGACTAATCCATTCAGTTTTTTTCCTACACATTCTATTTAACCCTTTTTTTCCCCCCAGCCAAAATGATATTAATGAATGCATTACCGATGCACCTTGTTATCTGAGCTCTAAAATTGAGAATCAACGAACATACGGCTTGCATAACATTGCTTTTACATGTGGATGTCTACATGAATTCTAAATAGCAGAGAAGAAGAATATGAAAATCAAAACATCAGTTGCTCGCATGAACTCTCAAAGTCAAGTTAATCACAATGCTTCCACCTACAGTACGAGATAAAGTACCACCTACCATCACTGTTGATGATGTGGAGCAGCAGCTTCAAATAGTTCTGGGTCTGTTCCACCAGGTCCCACGACTTCACCACACACACACACACACACACACACACACACACACACACACACACACACACACACACACAGAGAAAAAGACATAAGAGAAGACAGACTGTTTGTAGAGCAGAGACATTAAAGGAATTGATTTGTTGTCATCGTCATCATTGATGTGAACGACATTATTGATTATAATCTTTCTTGATTAAGATGTCCAACCAGCTATATAAGCAAGGCCGCCCCATAAGGGGGGGGATAAAGGGGAAAACTTTCTGGGGCCCAATCACATGGGGACGGCTCCAACAAGTACTTGTTAACAAACTTGTTTCCTTTTGGCTCCAAATGCTGATGGGAGCCAGGCAGAGGGAGCTAAAGTTAGCCAGGAGGCTAGCGCTAACACGACTGATCAAATGTGCATAGCAAGTCCTGGGAGGGCCCATTAACTGGACCTTTCAGGGGCCCAGTCATTTCTGCGGGCAGGCCTGCATGTCAGTAAACATGCTCAGCAAAGTTGCACAGATCAAACGCAGTGACCATTTTTTGGTGCTACATCCACCAGAAAAAGACATCAGACAGAATATTCCTTGTGAAGTTGTTCCAGATTTTTTGTTTGGCTGTATAACTTCTTCAAAATCAAGTCTCATTACATATCACAGCTTTGGATTGATCAATTAGGTTGTGTGGGTTTGATTGATGTTTGGCTGCACAGCATGACTTTACGTTCATAAATGATAGACAATGCTGATACAGATATTTTGCAATTGTTCATAAATAATAAGCAAAGCACTTTTCAGGTTGGACAACAGATGGCACTGACACACCACAAATATTTTAAGGAAGAACAGCCTGTACAGTATGTACAGCTGAGAGGAGAGGAGAGGCTACCTGGTATCGAGTCCAGTCAATGTTCAAGTTCTGAGTAAAGCGCAAAGGGATTGTCAAAGGAGCATCCACATAGTCCTGTAGGAGACACAGTGACATCACATGAGTACAACAGAGCCAATAAAACTGTAATCATTTAACACCCAACAAAGTCACCACAGCGTCTGTACCTGATTCCAGTTGAACACCAGACCCTCTGCTGTGTAGTCTCTGTCTTTGTAGTCTTTAAAAAACTCACACCCTAAAACGGAGAAGAAGAAACACTTTGGTCTTATTTTAAGGCTTGGGCCATTCAATGATTATAATGACAAAAACAGTTCCTACTTTATAACTTTGAGGTCCAGCTAAAACAAAACTGAACGGAAACTGAATGTTTTCATTCAACGTTGATTAAAATGAGGAGACCAAACTCTAAATTATGTATCTTGGTACATCTCTATGAAAGCTGTCTCCGTCTGCTCTATTGTTAAATTTTAACGGTGTAAAGCCGTCACGCAGACACTCAGACACTCAGACACGCAGAAGCTCAGTCAGTGGGGACTTGGTGCGGACCATGATGTGGAAGTTTGTAGCTGGAGAGATGCCAGGTCACCTCTTGAGTACTGCTTGAGCACGGCACCGAACCCCCAACCACGCGCTACCTGTGTAGCAGCCCCGGTCTGACATCTCTCAGTTAACAAGTCCTTTTTGTGCATGTGGGTCATTCGGGCCTTTGTGTTTGAGAAGCATGTCTGTCAATGACAGAGTGTAAAGCAGAATTTCACCTCAGGGATTAATGATGTAAATAAAAATACATTTTAAAAATATACAACCTGCCTAAAGGTTGACGTCCAGAAAGTCTCAGGCAGTATGTTAGGAGGTCTATACCTGTAACCGCTGTATGTACTGAGATGGATTTTTTTTTAAGTGTCATCCAGTTTTCCCAGGTGCACGATCTCTGCAGGTGTAACAATGTTTCTTTATGACTTTGTACAAATCTTTGGCATTACTGAATCGCCGTCTCTTACTATCACATACCTATCTGTTGACTTTTACTGATACCTAGATATCCGTCACAGGTAAATAACTGTAGACAAACAGCATTGTCCAGGGGTAAAGTTTGTATATGATGGAGAAAGTCAGGAGCTGAGTTTACCTGGATAAGGCACAGAGAGCAAGGTGAAGTCGGCGTAACGTTGGGCCTTGTCCGCCTTCTCAGAGGACGTCACACTGCAGAGACAAAAGAAGAGATGCCAGGTGAGATAGACAACACGAGCATGTGAACAGATAAGACTGCAGAGTGTGCGTGAGTCCCTGTTTGCCCTCTGCATTGACAACTGCCAAGTCTGCTGGTGTTTGTACAACGCATTCATTATTATGCTTAAAGAAATATAGTTTGGAAAAAGGTACATTTGTAGAACATATATCAATACGATACCAAAACAATGTCACTACAACTCTTTGCACTGTTCATTGTCATTAAACATGTTTAGGGTGTCTCCACCAGTTTGGGATTTTTGTGGTCTAAACTTGTCTTGTCAGCGATGGGTGGGGCTCAGTCGGGTGTGTTCATACACATCAGTGGCTCGGAGATATTTTGGCACAGCTTTGTGGTTGCGACAAAAACGAAAATAATAACACCTGCCATGTAGAAGAAATACATCTGGCCATTCTGGGTCAGACATTGCCCCGTGTCTACCTTCAAACATTAAACAGTGCAATAGCTTCTCATCAATCATTGTCATTTTGTCCTTTACAAAATAGAAGTCATTCAGGTGTTTGCCACTGAATTGCATCCTTCGATGTGATCTTAAATGACTGAATTGGTCCTTACAAACTGAACAATTAATTCCTTTTGGGGGTTCTGTGCCTTGCTTAAGGGCACCTCAGCAGGGACCTGAACTGGGGACCCTCCAGTTTCCCTACAGTCTGAGCTTCTGCCGCCCCCAGATATAAAAAGTGTGTGGTGATGAATAGCAGTGGGGATAATCATCAGGCTGGTAAAGAGAATGTGTTGGGATTGTCCCCCGCTCAAAGAAACTCTGTACACAACGACTTATCGCATTCTTCTGCACACATAACCAGTATTAGTTTGGCAAATATTTCCAAAGGGACACTGCTGCAGTGGGCGCCCATTATTACTTTGTGGGGGAGAAAAAAAACACCCTTTAAAGTGCGGTCTCTTTTTTTTTTTAAATCATGTACCAATTCTGTAGAGACGCAGAATCCCTCTTTAGTTTGCTTTAGTTTGGAACATCGTCTTAATTGGGGAGAAAGATGTGACACTGATTCTATAAAGGTAAAAACAGAGCTGAGTAAAATTAGACTAAATCACAAGCGTCCCCAGTTTAAACATAACCACAGCCACTCGGCCTACATGGTCTCCTAACTTCATTAACAGCAGAACTCTAAAGTTAAACACAAATAAACCGAGCGAGTGGTCAGATGTCTCTAATAAAGTTTCGCCCTATTAAGTCCAGAGGAAACAGTGACCTAAATAAGAGCCAGAGTGAGGATGAACTAGTCCGTGAATGTTCCTTACTTTAGGCCAAACTTAACCTTCTTGTTCTCCACCATCAGGTCACAGATGTAGCGAACCGAGAGGTAACGTAGCAGCTTAATGTCGTGACCCCGGACCTTGTCGAAGAGCTGGGAGTCCCCGTTCCTGAGGAGGAGGAAAGAGAGGGGAGGAGGGAAGGAAAGGAAACGGGGAAATGAAGACACATTTAAAAAAGAAAAGATGTGGTATGAAACCCCGAAACAGAGAGATGTTTCACTTTGAGGAGAAGTTGTATTTCAGCCAGACAAATATCACTGTCTCTCTCTCCCAGCTCACTCCCTGGTGTGAACTATTATTGTCACAAGTAATAAATGTCATACATCGATGTAGCCGAAAGAAAGACCAGAGTCTGATGTTGACATGATGACACACTTTTAAAGTGATTACCTGGCAGCACTGTCATCCTCTGGAACCTCCTCAGACTCCGTCCACGTGTCATCAGTGCCCCCTGAAGAAAAAAAACATAAGTAAATAAGGTTTGACGACTCTGCAACCGAGGCTAATGACAACAACGCTACTTCTTCTTCTTCTGTTGATCCTTTTAACTGAAAAGGAAAAAAGAAAACACAAGCCTACTCTGATTTATTCAGAGTTGAAAAAAGCTCGAAATCAAAACATTTTAAAGCCAATTACCCAACAAGTGTTTAAATCAAAAACAACCTTTCATCATTTACTGTAAACGTTTCCTATTCAGAACATGTTTATATGCAATTTTCACCCAAACTAACTAAGAACAGGGCTTTTGTGTTGGTCAGAATAAACACAGACAGACAGATTAGATGACACAGCAAGTTTGACGGAGTGACTCACACTCAGCTCCCTCTTCCTCGTCGTCGTTGTTGTTGTTGTGAATGATATACATTCTGACTACAGCTTTTTCTTGTTCTTATGGACGCCGGATGCACTTACTGTAAGTGCTTTAAGAGAAAGATGTTGCCAAATGAATGAGGCTAATGTAAAAGCTCAGTCACTGAAACAGGACCACGAGCTAGATTTCACCAGATTCAGGGTGTGTTAAAAGAAACATTTTAAAACCTCCCATCTTGTAATTTCTCTGCTTTATTCAGGCAAATTACTGCAAGTGACAAAAACAGATGAGCACCTGAGCAAACATAGAAGGCGAAGTTATTAGAATGGTAGATATTTGGATTTAGTGTAATAAATTGAAATACAAGAACATGAAAGACAAGTCTGTGAGCGTTCTTAAATGAATCACGTCTTCTATTTCACTTTGGTCCTGTCGCTGCATGTCACTCGTAGCCTGAACGCTAAGCCCAATCAATCACAGAACCCCTCGAGGTAAAGATGCTCTGTTCCTCTGCTGCAGGAACCAGGTGAGCCCGACAGGATCACGTCCGTCAGCTTCACAAAGACACAACAAGACTCATTCCACGACGCCTCGCTTTGTAATAATCATCAGAATACATTGAATTAAATGGCGTCTTTCAAGAGCGCTTTACAAAGTGGAGTAACAGTAGGAATACAAGACGCAACAAAAACAAAAAAAAGAAGACGAAGACAAGTAGAGGTAGAGATGAAAATCGACATTTGTAGAAGTGGAGATTCTTATCTTCTGATATTTTAAATGGATGGATAACTTAAAAACATCAGTCACTCAGTGCTAAGTGCTAAGGCTAGCTCTTTAACTCAGTAGAATGTCAAATGGAGCCGCAAGACGTCCAGCCAGTCTCACAGATGACTGGAGTAGATCCTGAAGTATGTACTCATTCATAAATAGACTTTGAATCATGAATCGAAAATAGATTCTGAATCGAATCGTGACCCCCCCCAAGAATCAAAATCGAAACATGAGACACCCAAAGATTCCCAGGTCTTAAGACAAATAAAGGATGGGAGACTAAAGGGAAGGCAGAGTTAAGAGAGGTCGAAGGCTGTGGTGAACAGATGGTGTTTGAGGAGGTTTTTTTTTAATGTCTCCAAAGATGGAGCATTGCGGATGTCTGAAGGGAGTGTGATCCAGAGGGTGGGGGCTTTGACTCTTAAAAGGTCCCATCTCCACCACACTATCTGAAGGAGCTCGGCGTCGACGTTGGGTTTCTTGTAACGATTTATAAAGTTTTCTCTTCATGTGTCATGTAAGACCAACAGCCTGTAGCAGCAAGCTGAAGACTCTGCCCAAGCACTGATCGTTGATAAAAAGCCAACAGGGGGAACATTCAGAGTTAATGCAATGTGTCGTTACATATCAGGTCAGCCTAAGGTGCAAATGAGGACAACACTTAGGTTATGGCACGGGCTCTATTCAGAGGTATAAATCAAACGATCAGATGTCTCTTCACAGCATCTGATCGAATGTCTGCTCAGATTTGTGCCGGGTATTTGATAGTTCAGTGTTTTAACAACTGATGTGATGATGGTTGAACGTAGGGAAACACCGCTGAATCTGTATCAGCTGATTTTGGCCCCTGTTGACAGACATCAGTTCATAATGTGGCATGAACCAATAACAGTACCCCATGTTTTTTGTTGTGGCAAAACAATTTAATGCTGGTATCTAGAACACCTAACTACTGATTAAGAGAACAGGTTTTTTATCGGGCTGAGGAAGTCAGCTGTTGACTAAACGGACTTGTTTTCATTGTCAAACATGAAAAACAGAGGCATTGTGAATGTCTTACACCAAAGCAAGTCATGAAGCAAACATCGGAATCGGCTAAATTGTTATTTCAAACATCGATGTAAGCCCTGATTTTCCCCATCAGTGCATCTCTAAACCTCATCACTCAGACTAGATTATTAAAACAACAGAATTATCCTTTTAAAAGAACCAAATCAGTGCTGTTGCATCAGTTACCTCATATACTTAAAACAGGGTTTATCAAAGACATGTCATTGCGTTGTACATTTTAGCATGTGAGAAACTCTCTCAGAACATATATCAGAGTGAACATGTTCGGTTCGTCTTTGTCATCATTTTGCTGCTGGTGTTTCTAGAGGAATCCCCCCCCCCCCCCCCCACTCACATAAAGGAACATGATGTTCTTATAGGAAAGGCTGACAGCTGTCTGACAACCGCTGCAACTATTCACAGGTCAGAGAGCACACATGCAACTGAAATCTTCCACGGAAAATTTGACAGCCACAACTTCCCTGTTGAGGCTAATTTAAACTCTTATGTGCCTCTGTGTTTGAGAGTGTGTGTGTGTGTGTGTGTGTGTGTGTGTGTGTGAGTTATACCTGAGAAGATGTAGTTGTATCCTGTGCGTCCATACAGCTCTCCCCATCCAGCCAGAGTGGACGATCGGCAAATGTGCTGCAATGGGGAAACAGAGGATAAAGCAGAAGACCGTTTTGTTTTACTGTTAATAGCAGCACCTGTTTTTCACCTGTTAACTTTTACAAACAGTAAAAAAGGGAAGTGGCAACCACAGACAATCTGCTGGTTTCGTTCTTAAAAAGGCATTGAAAGTTTCAAAACTACTGTCCTCGTTTCAGTGGGTTTTGATACAAGTTGCAATTGAAAAAAGTTAACATCTCTTTCTTTATTTGGAAAAGGTTTTCTTGTGAAGGGAGTATGGCTTTGTGATGGTTTCCTGCAGGCTTCATAGTGTCCATATGTAACTAAATAAGTACAGATTATGTTTATGTTTTTGACATTCGCATTTGACATGCTGCTCTAAACTTAAAGGTCACATATTATACAAAATACACTTCACCATGAGTTTCTAACACTAATATGTGTCTCTAGTCTGTCTATAAACTCCCCAATGATGAGTAAAGTCCATCCTCTCCGTCGTTCGCCTGCTCCATTTTTCAGAAAATGTGTGCTCAAACAGGCCGTTTGGAGATTTTCCCTTCATGACATCACAAAGGGCAGCAGTCCCTCCCCCAGGTGGGTGACACTCCCACAGCTAGGTGTTTGTTCTGCCCTCTGAGTCTACCTTCTTACTGTAAACAATAGGGCATGGTGCAAGAAAGCCCGGGCTGCCCAAGCCCTTCCAGAGAGGGGGCGTGGTCAGACACAGCTCATTTACATATTTAAAGGTACAGACACAGAAACAGCCTGTTCTGAGCAGGGCTGAAATAGAGGGGTTTATAGACATGATCAAAGACAGGATCAGAGTGGATTTAGAACAAGAAACTTCACAGACTTGTTTTGTGGAGCTCTGAGACTTATTTAAACTGGTTAAAAAGGAGGACAATATGTGACCTTTAAATAATAAGTTGAGCTACATCTAGAACAAGTACAATAAAAATATACTATTTCATCACCAATAGTGAATTTTAGCCAAAATTGTCATAGAAAATGAACCAGACTGAAACATAGGATTTTTAGTGGAGCAAATTGTTCTGTTCCGTGTTTGGAAAAATGTAGTCCTCTGAACCTTCCTCTGCTTTAAATGCACCTTCTTCTGAGGTTTACAGGCTGTTCTGTGAGTTACTGGATGGAGGTGCTAAATCTCATTCCAAAGATTAATCTGTCAGTTTTAAGCTCAAACACATCTCCCAGTTGGTTGTCAGTGGTTGAAGTCGTCTGCACTATTCATGTTGTCCTCTTCATAATTATAGTTTTAAGTTGAAGACATCATCAGTGACTGGGCCGAACACATCTTTGACTCGATTCGTTAAAGGACAAGTTTCTTCAGGATTCTTCCGTCTTTTACAAGCAGCTGCACTTGTCTGCTGTTACCATGAAAAATAAAAGATTAAAGGTTTGTGACATAAAGCTGACCTGGGTCAGTCACTTCAGAGAAACCAGTAATAGATAACTACGTTTTCAAAGCACTGTAATACTGTCAATGTTGGACGTTGATATTGACTAAAAGGGCTGCAGGTAGCTTTTTTGTTTAAGTCCTTCAGAGTATCTAACTGCCGAGTTGTGACATTTTTGTCACTGAAACTAGATTGAACCAATCACAAGATAGAAGGCGGGACATGACGTTGGAATGAATTTGATTGGACCATTAGCTTCGATTGGTCAAAAATGTGTTAACGCCTCTGAGTGCATGATGAGTCATCAGACATTTGAACCATTTTACAGGAAGAGAAAAGATGGTTATATATTCAGATAATGCTTTTATATATATATATATATATATATATATTTATCAGATAATGGCAGAAATATTCCATTTAACACAGGAACGCTGGATTAAAACCCTACAAATGTATTCCTCAATTCATGGGGACGTTAAGTTTACGAGGACTAATCGGGAGCGTTGAGAAAGACAATACAGAAAGGAAAGAAACATTGAACACAAACACCATCAACCTCCATCAACATTGTGATTCACACAGGTAATCCAAAACATGGTGGTTTCAGGAATATAAGAGGAGCAATAAAGTCAGACCTTTAACACAAAGCCTTGAAACTTGTGAGCCTAAATATAGAGGGAGAGTTGAATGTAAGGGATATAAAGCCTGGAGCAGCATTACCTTGCCATTGTAGAGGATGACGGGACAGACGAACCTCCCTCTGCAGCGAGCCAGCTTACTCCTGTTCACCAGATCCTGCAGCTTAGTGATCTGCACTGTGCTCTCAAACCTGCAACCACAGGGCACCACGTGTATTCAAACGTTTCAATTTAACAACACAGAAAATACACACTGTAGGATCACATGGAACAAGACGAACAAATCCTCCTGAGAAATAATTGTTCAAAGGCTCTCCTGAGATTTCATTGTGACAGTTAGGAAGGACATCCAGCCTTTGCTTTGCAGATACGAGCAACAACAATTGATGACTTTATCACTTGCACCAATATATCTGCAAAGAACTAGAATGGCAGCTTTTTTTTTTTTTTTGGTTTAGCACCATTGATGGCGCCTGCTCACAGGAGTTGGGGTTCTTAGTTGAGCTTCATATGCACCCTGCTGAGTGCAGCAACGATGCTTGATGCTCGGGAAAAGAGCGTTTAGTTTTGCTGCTCCCTCTGCAGGAAACTTTCTCCAAAATGACTCGAAACTGGCAGATCTCATTTCGCTTGAAGACGCGAGACCATTGGACGGTGCCTGATGCGTTTCTGAATTGTAATCTGTGATCCCGACTCTGCACTTTATCTGCAAACCGATTTTTCACATTGTAATTGTTGTTTTCTCATAACTTGTTGTTTGTAAACTGTTTCTTAAATCATGTAACGTTTATTATGTTGTGCGCTGATGCCCTCTTGGCCAGGTCACCCTTGTGAAAGAGAGCTTGATCTCAAAGGGTTAATTACCTGGTTAAATAAAATGTGTGTGTTCGTGCCTCTCAATATCATTTCTGGGTATAAAAGCCCATTGTGAGCAATGCTGACAAATCATTGCAACATTGCAGCAAAAGCCACAATTCCAGACATTTGAGAGTTTGGAAACAGATTTCTTTAAGTTTTTAATTTAACTGGATCAGCGAGCTTTATCCCCAGTCCTGGCTCGAGAGAGAGTGCATTTTTGTTGCCCTTGCTTGATCAATGACATAGCAAATAAAACTGTCTAGAAACCTTTATAAATGTGTGCATTGTTAACTTTTTTCAATTGATCTCCGATGCTGAAATTAATAACTGACATGCAATTTTCCAAAGTTTGCAGTAGGAAAACTTTTTCTGCACAAATGAAGAGAGCTTTTTGTTCATATGAAGAAAAAAAAATTGAAAACAGTTAAAGGGAATTTCCATTTTAGTGGAAAATTATTTAACTGCATCTGCAGTGATTAATAAGGATTTATTGAATCACTGAAAATATTCTATTTTTTGATACAATGGGACATCATGTGACAGGAGAGTCACTTCACCCCTCCGCTGCCGTGGTGTGTTCAGAGGGGCTGTGGATTGGGGGCTGATCTTTGCTCCCTGCACTACAGTAAGGCGGTGTGCAAGATTAGAGGAGTGACACAAACAAACAGGAGAGCAATTGGTAACCGAGTGGTCTGGACTTTGTATCGGAAAACGATGGACCGGCTGAGTGAGTAGGGGTGAGGTACCTGTCTCTCTCGGCCTCCGTGCATTCGTACTCCAGAAAAACTATCTGCCGGGGATAATGGCCACACACTTCTCCGTTGGCGTTGTGGATGATGCTGTACTTGTAGTCTCTTGCAAATAACTCCAGACAACGCTTCTCTATCGCCTCCACCTGAGGAGAAACAGAAACAAACAAAAGGTTATGGCAGAGGCTCAAAGGACCCCAATATTAGACTTTGTAAAGGGCTAGTCATCCCTCAAATGTGCACATTATTTGACAGATGACGGCAAATTTAGATGAAGACGCTCGTATCTCGATGTAAAGTTGAACATCCAGCACCTGTTTAATATTCTTTATTTTCAGCAGTGTCATCTTCAATGCCTTATCTTTATTCAAAACCTATAATGTATTGTTGTCTAATCAGCATCACTGCATCAGTAATACAATTTAATATGCGTCTGTATAAATAAAGATAAATGAACATTATTGCCATTTTTGGGGTTTTTCAACTAAAGCTTGACTGCCCTGGCTATGACTGTAGGCTGTGAGTGCAGAACAGGAGTAAAACCTGCAGCATGACCATGCATCAAAACAAACCCTGCAGAAACCTGAGTCTGTAGATTAAAATTTCAAAATGACAAAAACTGAGAGCAGCTTGAAGGATCAGACATATGCCGAATTGTGCACTGGTTCTTAAAGGTCGTTAATAAGTCATATATCACTACATACAGCTTTTGTTGTTTTGGTGGTGTACCAGGAATATTTAAAGTCCTCGATTTTGCAAAGGAGTTTGGTTTATCAGTCACAAAAGCGATAAAAAAAAAAAAAAATCAGACTTTCTGAGTGTTTAAAAAGCATTTGAAGATGGCAGAAACTTACCCGTGGAATGAACTCCTTCGCTCTGTACTGCATCTTCGAAAACAAATCTATCAAATCCATTATTTCCTCGCTCTTTCTGACCGACGGTCCGGTGGCCGTGAAGCCGCCGGCCATGGAGGGAGACCCGGCCATCATGACGCCTCGACCCGCGGTGGTGGCCTCCAGTCGAACTCGACCTCCTTCAAACACCGCAGAGCCTTGTCCTTGGGAACGGGAGGACCGACCAGGCCATCCCCTCCCAGCCAGCTTCTTCCTGACTGCCCGTTTGAGGGGGCCGGAGCCGGGGACTCCTCTTGAATTCAGGGCACCGGCGAGCTGCTCCTCTCCCCGAACACAAGCCGTCAGCCAGCCCCGCACAGACGGCCACTCACCGCTGCTGCTGCTGCTGCTGCCGGAGGTAGCACAGCAAGCTAAAAATGCTACTTCTACTCCCCCAAGCTTTGGTTTCGTATTTTCACTTCCTCAAACTCTGCGTGTAATTATTGTAGACAATTTAATAAGTTCTGCTGTTCTCCACATCACCATTGTTTCGTCCGCGTTTGTGACATTTGGTGAATTGAAGCCCGACTCTCCACAAGCAGCTATCGGTCGGCTGGAGTCAGGAAATCCCGATGCTCCTTCCCCGGCCTGCACACGTTTTCCCCCAATGTCACGTCTTCATGTCTCCTTAGTAACCATGTCCATGACGATAAACTGATAAAAACACGTATTCAATAATCAACCCTTTGGTTTGCAGGGATCTCGGTATTGCCTGTGTTGTCGTGGATAGAAACCCGCAGCACTTCCAGCCGTGCAGAGCGGTGTTGCAATCTGTGTACTCCAGTCTGAAGGTACAACAGGCGGTAAACAGGAAGCTGACGAGACCATGTGACCGACATCTGCCCCCTTTAAATGACGTTTGTTGTTGATCAGAGACCACACAGGTCTCATGTTGTGGTCTCTCTGCAGCCGCATTTGTTTACTCAGAGGACTTCTCTACGATAGAATCTTATTATAATCATTGTATGCAAAGACACAACGAAACTTCTCTCCAGCGTTTACAAAAACAACAACAAACATATATTTGTGGTGATATGAAAGAGAAGTATGCAAAAAGTGGCCAGAGCAGTGGCTGTTCAGTGAATTAATGATAATAATAATAAATAAATAGACAGTTGTGGTGACTGAAAGAATATATACAGTTATTATTTTGCAGTGACTGATTAGGTAAACAAATATAAATATAGAGACAGAATATATACAGTTATTATTGTGCAGTGACTGATTAGGTAAACAAATATAAATATAGAGACAGAATATATACAGTTATTATTGTGCAGTGAATGATTAGGTAAACAAATATAAATATAGAGACAGAGTATATACAGTTATTATTGTGCAGTGACTGATTAGGTAAACAAATATAAATATAGAGACAAATATAAATATAGAGACAGAATATATACAGTTATTATTGTGCAGTGACTGATTAGGTAAACAAATATAAATATAGAGACAGAATATATACAGTTATTATTGTGCAGTGAATGATTAGGTAAACAAATATAAATATAGAGACAGAGTATATACAGTTATTATTGTGCAGTGAATGATTAGGTAAACAAATATAAATATAGAGACAGAGTATATACAGTTATTATTGTGCAGTGACTGATTAGGTAAACAAATATAAATATAGAGACAGAGTATATACAGTTATTATTTTGCAGTGACTGATTAGGTAAACAAATATAAATATAGAGATATAGTGCAAATAAGTGAAGTTGTAGTGCAGTGACAGAGTATATACAGTTATTATTTTGCTGTGACTGGATGAGTAAATAAACAGTTTTAGTGCAATGAATGAATAATAAATAGACAGTTAAAGTTAAAGTGCAGTGACTGAGTAGATAGATAGACAATTGTAAAGCAGTGAATTACAAAGTTATTGCACAAGTAATATTGAACAGTTAGCAGCGGTTGGGTAATTATTGCACATTGTATTCCCGTCTTGTTGGGGTGGGGGGGGTGTTTATGGGTTGAGGAGTTTGTCCACAGCTCTGGGATAGAAGCTGTTTTTTTAGTCTGTTTGTCTGTGTGCGGATGGTCCTGAGTCTGCCTGAGAGAAGGGTGGTGAACATACAGTGTCCAGGGTGAGATGTGTCTCTCCGGATGTTTGAGGGCCCGCTTGTGGAGACGGCGCGAATGGGTGTCTCTGAGGGATGGGAGAGGGGAGCCAACAATCCACTGAGCTGTTTTGACGATCCGCTGAAGATTCTTCTTTTCTGCTGCGGTGCAGCTCGAGTACCAGACAGTACAGCCGTACGTCAGGATGCTCTCGATTGTGCAGCAGTAAAAGTTCTTCAGCAGATCGCGAGGAAGTCTGTTGCGCCTCAGGGTCCTCAGAAAACAGAGGCAATGCTGTGCCTTCTTTATCAGGTGTGCTGTGTTGAGGCTCCAGCTCAGGTCCTCTGAGATGTGCACTCCCAGGAACTCAAAGCTGGAGACACGTTCCACCTCTTCCTGGTTTATGTGCAGACTGTTTTTTCCTGTAGTCAATTATTATCTCCTTGGTTTGCTTCGTGTTGAGGTGCAGGTTTTTGTTTTTACACCACCCAGAGAATGTTTGTACCTCCTCTCTGTAGGCCGCCTCGTTGTTGTTGGAGATCAATCCTACAATGGTGGTGTCGTCTGCAAATTTGAAAAAGGTGTTGGAGCTGTGGGTGGGTGTGCAGTCGTGGGTGTACAGGGAGTAGGATAGGACTGAGGACGCAGCCCTGGGGTACACCGGTGTTGAGGATGATGGTGGAGGAGATGTTGTCTCCCAGCCTGACATGTTGAGGTCTGTTGGTTAGGAAGTCCTGGATCCACAGACAGAGGGAGGTTCCTAGCTGCAGTGTTTGCAGTTTGCTGACCAGTTTGCTGGGCTGGATGGAGTTGAATGCAGAGCTGAAGTCAACTAACAACATTCTGACGTAGGTGTTGGGCTGTACCAGGCGGGTGAGGGCAGTGTGCAGTGCGAGTGAGATGGCGTCGTCTGTGGATCTGTTGGCCTTGTAAGCGCACTGGTGTTGATCAAAACCAGCGGGAATGCAGGATTTGATGTGTGACAGTACCAGTCTCTCCATGCATTTCATGATTACTGGAGTCAGGGCAACCGGCCGGTAATCATTCAGGCTTGAATATGTCCAATTTTAATGTGCACTATGGAGTTTTGGTAGATAAATGTGAAAGTTGGAGAAATGTATGTGGTATATGTTCATAACGCTATACACAAACTGTCCTCAGAGGAAAATTTGGCCCCTGGAACAATGTTTGAAGATAAAATGCCACGGGAAAAGTTATGGTGGGGGGCCGCAACGGTGAAACCATAACTCTCCTGGTAGCTTTTTAGCTCCAAACAGTGTTCCAGGTATGAGTACTTTGTCATAAAATATAGCATAGAATTGCTTACTTTTAACTTCCCTACTCCCTTTATGTAAGTTACTAACATACCCCTTGGTAAGGACGGAAGCCTTAAGCGGACATTAATTTTATTCAGTTTTTCTGTGACCACAACCTGATTGTAAAACCAAGATAACGAGATAAATAAGTTGAGACATCAAGAGAGCAACCAATGTGTATTAATTATCACAGGAAAATGGAGTAAAATGAAATGTATGGATGTATGTCCGCTTAGAATGAAAATAATATGTTCAGGCAGTCTTTAAAAGCAACTCAAAACCATAATTTAAAATTTCCCATCGACAGAAGGACATGCATCCATGATTTTTATTTACTCCATTAAAAAAAATGTAGGCTTCCTATAGTACGAGTACATTTCTGCTGTTTTCTTGGGATCTCGACTTATTCTTCTTTTTATCATAGAATAACAACGCTGGTTTCCCTCGTGCTATCAAGTTTATTCCTCCAGATTTGGAGAAGAAGGCTAAAAATAACTTATTATCATGGGGAAACCAGTGTGCTTATCCCACGATTACAAAATATATGAGATGAGATATCATAAAAACATCTTAACTTTGCTCATTATCACTCAGCTAAATTAAATATTATGATGTATATGTTTAGGGGCTTCTGCACCTACCTAAAAGTACAACAAAGATTAAAGCAATAAAAACAGAATATCGTTATGTTAGACTTTAAAAGAATAAACTATTAATCAAGGAAAAAGCAAGGCAACAATTCTCACTGTAGCATCGTATTGGACTCTTCCATGTCCTTTTTACGTCATGTCTTGTCTCCTGAGCCTCCCCTTCCAGACTGTGGTTCAACAACAGCGCTGTAACAATGTTTCACCATCATTACACCCTTGTACTAACATATTTTTTCAAATAGCTGATCTATTTTTTATTTTTTTTAAATCTATTTCTTAGTATCTATTTTTTTTGTACATTCTTAATTTTTATTTTTTTATCTAAATTGTACTGTGTTCACTTTTTGTTTGCAATCTTTGCTCTTTGCTGCTGTAACAATGTAAATGTCCCCATTGTGGGATAAATAAAGGATTATCTTATTTTACCTTATTGCACCTGTAACAGATTAATATTGGTGACCCAGTGTGTTTAAATTAAATTGCAGTATGATGTTGCAGAACCAGCGAGAAGCACGATGTGTGAGCACGCAGGGGTAGCACATACACACACACACACACACACACACACACACACACACACACACACACACACACACACACACACACACACACACACACACACACACTCAGGAATGCACACATACACACACACAGCGCTGTTCTGCCTCGCCAGCTCCTACATTACACATTGCCAGCTCTTTCCCCCCGTTATACCTCTGTCACTAGTACCTCTGATGGCAAATCTGGAACAACTTCGCCCCACCATTCTGCAACTGTGTGTTACATGCTGCATGCACGGCATAACAAGGGGCGTAAGTGTTCTGCCTGTAAGTGCGAAAAGTTTCCAGTGTTAGGGTGCATGTGTGAACAAGCAGGTCCTGAAGATTTCAGGGGCAGTCTACCCAACATTTTGAGGAGTGCATATGTGAACATTTTGATGGTTAATAGCATATGATTTGGGGCCTCTCTATGCACCCATTGGTGACTTAAAACTTTGAGGAGAACAAAATCAGCTGTGCAGCATTTACCTGCAATATTAAGGGTAAAGGCTGCAATATTAGAGGGTTAACATTGCACTTTATCTCTGCTTGTTACACACACAGGTATGCATCTCCTTATATCATTTGTGTAGCTGTTCTTGTTACTCCAGGAGAAGAGGCCAGGCTACTATTTCCATGCCTCGTTCACCTCATGAAGCTTTGGTGGTTTCCTGATCCTCAGCTGCCGTCACCTCACTCCACTTTCCCTGGCGAAATGTAGTTATGAATAATGAAACTTTAACTCAAAAATTGAAATTGCATGAGGGGCGCCAGTGGCCTGATGGCTGGTGCGTGCGGCTGTGGTCCTCCTCGTGCAAAACTCCAGCTGTCAAACGTGTCCAGCACTCCTCAGTTTCCATCCCTTTCACTTGTGTTGTGGGCTGTGTGTCAGCAGTGAAGGATATCCAGTAAAATGAATATAAAGTAAATAGAAAACAAATTCAATACACATTATGATATGATAATAAAAAGGAAAAAATAAGGAATGTATATATAATCACAATCCTGAAAACATTTAGAAAAAAATATAGGCTAATAGAGATTTTATTGGCGAAAGCTTGTCACTAAAAATCACAATGATATGAAATATCTTCTTAATAGTTTTATCTGGAACAGCCCACCCCTGACTGACCCGCCTTATTTAACTTGGATTGTGCCGAAAGTCCCATGACAGTTATTTAAAAATAATCGTTTCCATTAATCATAGAGGCCAGTTTCTTCCAATGGGGTTGCGTTCTTGTGACATTAATTTATACATGAGGACTGCTCAAGTCAAATCCATCAGTCAGTGTTAATATTGATCATTCAGCCGCACAGCTGATGAATACTTTATGTGCTGCTGGTATGTTGGCAAACATGACTGCTCCACGTTGCTTTGCACACGTCTTACATTAAGTCATGTGTCAAACCAATTCATCAGATAAGCTCTCAATGTTATTTAAACATTTATTCAAGTCAAGCTTCTCAAATGTGACATATTGTTTTAACTTCTGTCTTCAGTATACTTCATTAGTCAACACAATTCAAATACATGTTCAGGTAATATTAACTGCATGATTTATATCTTGCCTGGAGACATGGATTAATCTGCATAGGTCCTAAGTTACAAAAAAAAATGTTTTTTTAATATATTTTGGTGTTGGGTCCTATATTTGTGCAGCATTACAAGAATCCAATATGTTTTAATGACGGAAATGATCACATAACTTAACTTGGGCTTTTGGCCTATTTATTTTGAGTTTGATTCCTTAATTCAAAACAAATTATTGCTGGTCTCTTAAGGCTGAGGTTTAAATACTCTCTCAGGAAAGCCTTAAAGTGTTTGATTTAAAAAGTGTGTTGTGGCTGTCCAGAGGGAGGGGGTGTTCACATTTTGCAATTTCAAAAAGCATCCACAAGTCGACGGTGTTCCTCGGAGAGAGGAGAGAGAGAGAGAGAGAGAGAGAGAGAGAGAGAGAGAGAGAGAGAGAGGGAGGAGAGGGAGGCAGCCGGGGTGTGAGGGAGGGAGAGAGTCACACAGCCTCCAAAACCACTGTCACAGGGTCGGCAGTGTGTGCGCTGTTGAAGAACCGATTTCTATTTTTTTGTACATTGTCCATTCTCGGGCTTTCTTTTGTTGTCAAGTTTTAAATCCGGATTCAAGTATGTCAATGTCTGCAACAGAGTCTCCGTCTATTTCTTTTGGATCTTTGTTCGTTTTGGTAGGATTCATCATCATCTCGGGGAAAATCGACTCATATCTCATCTGAAGCCTGTTGGGTCTGAATGCACAGCAGATCGGGTGGAGGTGAGATGCTACAGGAAGACTATGATGCGCACCCCGTCCGTCACTGGCCGCTGTTTTTGGCTCCGTGAGCTCGGCTGTCTGTTCTGCTGTGCCTTTACGCGCTGAGAGGAGCAGAGGGGAGAGGAGAGGAGAGGAGAGGAGAGGAGGGGAGAGGAGAGGCTTCCCCCGTCAGCTGAATCACGCTTCACCACTGAGTTGATTGACTGATCTGAGAAGAAGAAGAAGGAGGGACGCAGGAGGGACAGGGGTAGACCATCCAAAAAAAAAAAAGCAGTATCTAGAGCGGCTGACTGACTGAGCTTCAGAGGGAGACGAGGGGAGTCACTGGACCTTTTGGATATTTGTGCGGGGGGGTTGGTGGGGGGGTGGTGAGAGAAAAATGCTGCCTTCCCAGGAAGCATCCAAAATCTACCATGACACCTACATGCGCAACTCCCGGGCCATCGGGGTCCTGTGGGCGATCTTCACTATCTGTTTGGCCATCATCAACGTGGTGGTCTTCACCCAGCCCTACTGGATCGGCGACAGCATCAACACCCCTCACGCCGGCTACTTCGGCTTGTTCCACTACTGCGTGGGCAACGGGAACTCCAACAGGGAGCTCTTGTGCCAGGGCACCTTCTCTGAATTCAGCTCCATCCCGTCGGGAGCTTTCAAGGCGGCCTCCTTCTTCGTGCTGATGTCCACGGTGCTCATCATCAGCTGCATCGGCTGCTTCGCCCTCTTCTTCTTCTGCAACACCGCCACGGTCTATAAGACGTGCGCCTGGATGCAGCTGCTATGCGGTAAGGATGGAAGACACTTAGTTTGTTTGTTTGTTTGTTTTTTTGCTTAAGAGAATGTATTTGTGAATGGAAAGTCCATTGGGTTAAGATGAGCATCGCAAATATCCTGAAAAATCCCCGTATATTGTTTTAGTACACTTTGTTTCTTTATCAGAAATGTCTCCATCGCCTCAGTCCACCAAAGGATGAGCGCAGCGGGAGCGCATCGCTCATTCTGCGCACGAACACTACACGGGGGACTTGCTTCTTATCAGCAGCTGCACCCCCACCATCTCTCCCGTGGGAGCGTGCAGGGGGCTCCCCTTAGCCAACAACAGAGCTGAAATTTGATCTTACACTTGTATGAGGGCCAAATCAAAAGAGGAGGTCTCCAAAAAAAATGTATCCGTCATGCACAGTCAGGTGTTACTTGGTGACCTGCAAAAGATAGAAATCCTAATTATTCTTCATCAACCATCAGTAAGATGTTTTTGCAGCCTTGATGACAGACTCTGGGTCTTTGCCACAAAAAAACCCATCATTCTGACACTGCCTATTCAGTTTCACCCAGCTGGATGAGATAATGTGTAATTGTATGGAATTATGATAATCAAGTGCCTTCAGCAGTGTTGCATCAAAGATCACAGCTTCTATTTTGGTTGCCATTTCTGCCTAAGAGATTAGCCTTCATTATGCATGATCCGCACATGCATTCCAGTAATGTATCCCCAACTCAGCGCGTTCATTCATCTGTGCACAACTGGAAAACACTCCATGTAGAGGCTGTATTGTGTATGTAATTGTATTAGGGGGTTGCAATACGCTGTCAGATAAGTTGATTAGAGACGCACATTTGGAATTAAGACCCCGTTTGCATGTGGACCAGAAAGTGAGAGCTGATCAGTCTTTTCAGTATTGAGGTTTTTCTTTTTGAACTTTGTCCACAGCATGCTCCCCAGTGAACAGATTCGACCAGAACACAGCGAGAAAAAGTTGTAGATAGTGAGTGTTGCACTGTACTCCTCTGTTCATCAACAGTTGACTTTATTTTGCAAAGGTTCCTCACATGCAAAATGTTCTTTACATATTGCAATTACATTCCAGGCTAAACCCAGTGTTCTTCTACTCACAGTCAAATTTCAGTCTTTGGACCAGAATGAAATCTATTTCTTCAGCTCACAGCTCATTCAGCTCATAGTTTCTGTCGTTGTTTGTTATCTAAACATGTGCTACAAGGCTTTCATCTGTCTGGGCATTCAAGATCTCACTATTGTCTCCAGCTATTTTCACTGTAGGCTGACATAGTGTGACACTCAGGGAAGACTCATGCGGACCAGTCCGTATTGTTAACACTTTTAAAATACTGTATCTTTATTGTAAACATGAATTTCGAGCAAACGTTAAAGCTGGCAAAAGCTCAAAGCCTTAACTGATCCAAAACTATCGTAGGCTGTGTTACCTTTTACTCACTTTTACTACAAAAATGTAAAAAGGAAAATCCGCTAGCTTATTTCTTATCTTAAGATAGCTGAAAGAAAAATAACACTCAAATTAAGAAGTTTAAAGCCTCTGCACAGTGTGTCTTTTTAGTGCAGAGTATGCCAGCGTAATGTAATTTTACTCAAGGAGCATTAATGAGTTATCTCGTGCTTCTGAGAGGCTTGGCTATGAAAAACCTGTAAACCATGTGCAACATGTTCTTCTTCTTCTTCTTTTAAGTTCAGCTTGGGCAGGTCCCCAGAGGAATCCTGGCTGAGTAGAACCATCTACTGACAATTAGAGAAAAAGTAGGATATAGAAAAGGACAACCTGGACAATGAGAACGTTCTTTTGGTTCTTTTATTTACAGAAAAGGAGTACACGTATTTGCACAAGCTCACAAATATGTATCTTCAAATGCAGAATATTATTTCTTTTTAGTGCATCCAAAACACAATTTCCCTTTACGTGCATGAGCTCAGATGTAACAGATGCATGTACCTTTGTGTGTGTGTGTGTGTCCCAACACGGAGCACTAACACAGATTGTATCAATTCAAGTGGAGCCAAAAGTGTCTCCTGCAAGCTGAGTCGACATCAAAGAATCCCCCTGGCGATTTCATAATCACACAAACTGCTAATGAGCTGGACGTGATGCAGAGCAAACTGGTCCCAAGTGTGTTTAAAAAAGGTGCACGGTGTTCTGGCATGAGGGAGATGGTTTTTTCACTGTGTTGAATTTCGACGTTTTGATGACGCTTTCTGTGGAGTTTGTTGTTGATTATTTCACAAATCATCACCCCAGTGTTCTCACTGACCATCTACGTGGTTTGTGTGTGTGTGCACATGTGTGTGTGTGTGTGCACGTGTTGAGGAAGGAGGTTGATGCAGCATCTGTAGTATTGTTGTTTGCGTTTGTTAATAAAAAAAAAAAAGATAACTGAATGAAAAGAACTACAAGAATCCAGACCAATTTTCAGGCCAAATCCGGAAACATCATTCTTTAGTCTCAGACCTGCATTTCCTCAAAATGAGATGCTCCTCCTCCCGGGGTGATCCCTTCAATAAGTTCAGTTCCATTTCAGGCTTCATTTCCAACTCTGTCCATCTTGCCAGTTTCACCGGCACGATTCTATTTCCCACCGACACATCGACTACCAGCTGTAACTTAGAGGTGTGAACGTGTGAACAGACTTCATGCATTAGTTTAACACTTTTCTTTGTCATTTGTTTATGATTATAACAGTTTTCCTCTTGCTGTTGCGTTTCAGCTCTGCCGTGTGGTTTGGTTGCTGAGTTTGGGCTTCTGCTTAAATATTGCGAGGGCGGAAAAATAACACATGATTAATCCTGTTTGAATATGTAGGGAATCACGATGCCAATGAACGATCGTCTCCAGCGGTCCAGAAAGCTTCACTTCATGCTCTGATAACTCAAAAGTATACGGACTCATCCATAAAGGCTATTTCTCCCCGTCTCGTGATGCCCCCTTAACTGGCAAGCAAATCATGTCGTGTTTTTCTGACAGTTTTTTGAAAGCTGGCTTGAGCTCAGCTGTAAGTTCAGTGATCTATAAAAGATAGGCCCCATAGGTGGTTTGCTGGGTCAGTGTGAAATAGTGCAGTGCAGACAAGTTCTTTGAAAAAAATATCGACTTCGTGCTCCAGAGGTGCCAGAAAAAAAGCCCAAATGGATAACTTCATTCCCCCAGACAAAAAACACGTTTTTTTTAAGGTGTTGACAATATAAATACTCCACTGTCTGACACTTCATCACGAGGACCTTATTGAATGACGGCATATTTTTGCAGAATTAAGGCCAAGTAGATGTTTGATTTTAAAGACTGAAAGGTTTCACACATTTACTCCGGTCCGAGTCATTGGACGAATTTGGTCACAAGGAACATTTACAAGCAGACTAATATGTGTGATGTGTGCGGGAAACAAAGACCAGTTGACTTCTGCCTCGCTGTGGTTGCTCCAAAGCTGCTTTTCCGATTTCAAAATAGACAGACGGCTACACGGATTGATGTTGGCGCTGCTCATCAGTTTTTATATTGTTTGCATTTATCACTGTTGGTAAATTTTGGTGTTCTTGTGTGTTGTTAAAAGTTGTGAGCTTAACCAAATCTCTATGAGCACCTCCTTATGAATCCACATCTGTCCACGATTCATCATTCTGCTGTTGTTGTAGCAGTAAAAGGCTAACAATTCTACCCACGATGCACTGCACACCTGGCTACCTTAGCTGGTTTAATATGAACTAATATGAACTGGTTAATATGTCTACACTCCTGCACTTTAACTTATGTCAGTACTGTCCATTTACTACTCTGTTTGTGCACATTTACATTTAATCTTTCATATTTAATCTAACTATTTAAGACTAGTAATGCTAAATTAAATCCTGGTTGTATATATTCTCATTCTTAGTTTTGATATTTTTAGTGCTTATTTACTTTGTATTTAATATTATATTGTGTTTAGATTTGCTAATATTGTGTTTTTTACTCATATTGTGTGTTTGGATAACCTGCTGCTGTAACACCACAATTTCCCAGTTTGGGATCAATAAAGTAATTCTATTCTATTTAATCCAAAAAAAAGTGCAAACGTGTCAGTGTGAACACAGAGCTCAGGACAACAAAACAAAGGGCGTTGGACTTCACCCTTTTTAAAAAGTTGTTGCTCAAGAATATACTTAGTTCGGATATATTTCTAATCTGCTACACTAATGTTTAAAATGTTGCATATTATACCTTTAATAACATCGATGTAGGAAGTGCTGTCCCATTTTTAACAGGCATGAATCAATCTTTATCCTGGATTAAAGTTATTGTAGAAGAAGCAATTCACAAACTTTAGTGACCTTACATGATGTCATGAGGAAGCTGATAATATCAAAATGGAGACTGACAAGTTGCAACAGGTAACTCGATGGTTTAGGAGTCTGTTCTTCAGTTAGACCTTAAGGTTAGTTTTAGTGTGTGTCCATAGTAACATGCTAACCAAAGTTAGCCTCAAGCACCTAAATGTTTACCGTTGAAACACCGAAAGAATTGGAGGTGAGATCTGAACTGTCAGTTTTAGTTCTTGTTAACAATAGCCTCAGGAGGGAGATGTTTACTGACGTTCAGCAAGTGCTGGAGCTTATGTAAAAGTAGAACTCGAGCTAGTTCAACATGATAAAGTTCATCCAATTTATGCATGTAGATATACTGATGTTGAAATAACTTTAGCCACTTAAAGACCAGAGTTAGTTGGACATGGAGGCTCAGTGGTAGAGACTCAACTCAACTGTACTTATCGAGCACTCGACACACAACACAGTTCATCCAAAGTGCTGAACATCGCTTATAGAAAAAAAACAATGCAATTAGAAAGTAACATACAAGGACAACAACCATAAAAATGAAAGAAGAGGTAACAATTATGTACAGTGTAACGCAAAACATAAAGAGCTATGGATCCTTGAGTTTGAGGAGTTATTGAACATTTAAGGCAATTGAGTAGAAATGTGTTTTCAGGTGAGTTTTAAAAATAC